TGGTGGATTGATAAAGGTATCAACGGCTACTAAAGCTGATAAATAATGAATTACTTAAGGACTTGAAAATGCTTAAAATGAACAAGAAAGAAAAGCATATCGAACAAGCCGAGTTACTCAAATTCAAGATGCTGGCATCAGCACGAGTGGGTTAAGGACGAAAACAGGAATGCAAAAAGTGCACAAATTGTCATGTACTGTGAAATTCTGTAATATTTTTGCTATTTCATTCTTTTTACAAAAAGGTAATTTGCCCAAGGCATAACTAAATGTGATTTAATATTGTTACATTCACCAATTTTGAATTTATAAAATCAGTGGGTCTACAGTTTTCTCCTTTTTCCATACTTAAAAAAAAACAACATCTAACCATTAAGCTTGGAATTCCTCAATGACCATCATCAGTTGTAAGTGCACCTTTCCAAGTTATGGGGAGATCTGCAGAGGCTGCACACAGCTCATTGGGTTTGAAAGAACGAAGCAGGTCTGACGTTCATTGCCATTGCTGGCAGTGGGGGAGGTCTCTCAGGGCAGTACGCAAAAAGTGAGTTAACTCCTTATGGTAGGTGCCCACCCCAGTGCAAAGTGCCGGAATGGAGCCTGGAAAATCTCAGACCCTTCTCACTACTACAGACTGTGAAATCTAAGCCTTATTCCACAGCATTTTTGGCTGCTAATCTTTTCTATGTGTTTCTCAGATACTTGATTGAATCCATATGTCTTAAATTTTGCATGAGCTTTTTTCCTTTATAGAAATCATTTACTATTCTATAAGAAGCTCAGATGCTAGCCTTTTTGTAAAATAGTCAATGAGAACGTCAAACAAAAACATATTCTGTCACTTAAAAGTATCATTTACAATATACAATCATTGCTCCTCTAAACCTACCCCAGGAGTATTTTATTGCAAGTTTTCTGGTGTACTTAGTGTAAAACTTATTACAAAGCTGGGGAAAATGTTGGGGCGGTTTATCCCTCTATTGATCGTTTACACCAATATAGCACAGAGTGTCATTTTAAAAGATAGTTGCAAGATTTCAACAAACTGATGGACTGTGCTGATATGTTTTCTCCCTCAAAAGAGATATAAAGTGGCTGAATTAGAATATATCAAAAATAGAGATCAGATTCAAGAAAAATAAGTATCCCAATGATCCCAGTGCCAGAAAGTAAGCAAGAAAACAAAGCCAAAGTGATTGCTGATTTAAGCCAGTAAATTTGGGAGTGGCTTGTCAAAGGCTGATTGATAAACCAGTTAAAATACTATTCATGTGTAAGGATTAAATAGTCACAGTTTCGAGTAAAATACAGGATTTCTCTTTCAGAAATAACTCTGAAAGAGTTATCCTCCTAGAACAATGAAATTGAACCAAAAAACACTAGTCAGATGTTGGGAACTAAGGTAAACTTAATGAATATTGACCAGGCAAAGTAATGATGACATGACCGATTTGTGTATGGGGAGATGTTAGACATAGTGTGGGAACTCAAGTATCAAACAGCACTTACATGGGAGAATAAACAGGCATGATCAGACCTACGTCCCCTAGAAATCTTGAAGTTCAGGATGAGGATAGAAATACTGATTAACTTTAAAAATGCACTGTCCAATATGGTAGCCACTAGTCCCAAGTGAGTATTTAAATTTAAACTCATTTGAAAGGAACAATACTTAAAATTCAGTTCCTTTACCTATTACACGTAAACAGCTTGGCAGTCATCCTTCCCTTCCCAACAACAAGAAAAAGCTAAGCACACTGAAAATTGATGATGTTTCTTGGACCCATCAGAGACTGAGGTTTCAAGGCAAAGCACAACCAAGAAACCTGGAATCACCAGAGTCCAGAGGTGTTGCAAGACCTACTGTTTTTGTAATTCATGCATGGCCTGCTTTTGTTCGGGCCTCCACTCAAATAAGGCTTTCTTTCTGGTACTCTTAGGTACGGAAGCTGGCAATATTCCCAGATGTGGAACATGCGTTCCCCAAAATTGAAAGAAACTAACCAAAGGCTGAGCTTCTCATTTGGTCCCAGGGGTTGGTTGCAACAGATGTATATATTTGGTTGCTTGTTGAATAGCCAAGGAGGTTCCTGTCCAGGTTATTCCTAGGAATTTTACTAATAGGGCAGGTTTTAAGAGCTTTGCTGGATTTATCATCCAGCTTCAGTTGGTTATTTAGTCACTGCTGCATTCACATCAGTCCTAGCCTGCTCTTCAGTTTCCAGTGTTACCATAACGTCACCAATATGGCGCATTATTATTATACTGGAGACCATCATCAAATCCAAATCCCTTCTGAACAAATTATGACAGTTGTCTGTGACAACACAGCAAACTTAAATTGGGATCTTTCCTATGTCAACGTGAACTACAGTTGGCCCTTTTCCAAGATGGAATAGAAAGTGTTTGAAAAACAGTAACTGAGTATCAGTCTCCTTTAGCCTGTGGGTTTTTGTGGGTTTTTTTTTTTTTTTTTTTTTTTTGGTATGGCTGAAGCCATGTCCGGGAGCACTGAGGCATTGCATGGTCCAACTTTAAGCCTCAACAGTCTATTGTTAGTCTCCGTCAGCTACCAGCTTTTTTCTTAGGCTACAAAAGTTCACTGTACAGAGAATTCATTGGTACCAGCACTCAGCACTTCAGCTTTTAACATGTCACTAATTAAAGCAGTAATCTTTTTGCCTACCAGGTACAGTAAGTCCTCGAAATAGTAAGTTGTTAGTAAGTTCTGGGACTTTAAGGGAACTGACTCTAATGACACCTGTTTTACCATAGGTGAATTGATATAAACAAGAGTTAAGTTCCTATAGCATTTGATCAACTTTATAACAAAAACAACATGGCACAAAACTATGTTAATTGAGGACCTGCTATATTCTATGTCATTTTAAGTTAACTACCTGCATGTGTTTGGGCAGTCCTGTTGGTTCCCATTTAGTATGACAAATTAAGACTGGCCCAAAGGAAGATTTCTTGCCTTCTGCTTACAGTATTAGGTAGGGGAAGCAATCTCTAGTTGGACATAATATCCATCCTGAATATACATCCAGGTAAAGGAGAGCTGACCACCTCATATAAGTTTGTTCAAAAATCCCAATTTTCATATAAACTATCATCTTAATCCCATCAGCCTTTGCATCTCTATGTCCTCCCAATCTAAACTTAGTGGCCATCAAGACTTCGCCAACACGTTTCAAATCATAGAAGATGACTCAGAAAATTCTCTTCCCTTTGACATTAATCCAGCCATTTTATCTACACACGTGCATATGGCCTTGGTTTATTATATAATAAAGGATATGATAAAGGATTCAGAGGAATAATCAGATGAAGAGATACATAGGATGTGGTTCAGAGGGTCCCAAACATAAAAGCTTTTGTCCCCGTGGAGTTAGGGGGCACCACCTTCCCAGCACATGAATGTGTTCACTGGTGCAGAAGTTCTGTGAATCCAATACATTGGGGTTTTTATGGAGGATGCATTAGGTAGACATGATGGATTATTCACTCAATGTTCAAACCCTCTCCCATCTCCAGAAAATGGGAGGTGAGGCTAAAAGTACCAAGTTTCTAATCGTGGCTTGGTTTCCTGGTGACCAGCCCTGATTCAGAGCCCACCAAAATTCTCTCATTAGAACAAAAGATGTTCCTACCACCCAGGAAATTCCAAGAGATTTAGGAACTCTGTGGTCAGATGCTCCTATTTCTCAGAAAATTACAAGGGTTTTAGAAGCTCTGTGTAATGAACCAGGGATAGATAGATATATATTTGTATATTCTTTTACATAAAATTCTTTTACATAAATGACCACAGAGAACCAAAGCTAAGATCAGCTTACCTGGAGCAGAAGTCAATAGAACCATTAATTGGTAGGAACAAATACTCTAATGTAATTTTGATAAATTGCTGGAGGCTGAGTGTGGACCCTCAGTATTAAGAGGCCAGGAGCAGGTGGGTGTAAGTGGAGGAGGGCAAAGCCTACGGGGTTGGAAGGTTAACGCCAGCTGATAGAGACCTGGTACCAAAACAGACACAAGGGAAGAAATATTCTGACCTCTCCCTTCTTCTGACCTTACATTTCTTGTTGCTACTTCCTATTGGACTGGACAGTTCCAACTGGAAGCCGTCCATCAGAGCAGAAATTGGTGATGCAGTTCCCAGTGGCCGGCCTTGTATAGAGGGCTATTAAGGAAAATAGAGAACAGAACTAGCACAATATCTGTCTATACTAGAGTTAGAGATGGTGTAACTTTTTTCTTTTCTTTTTTAAAAATCTCTTCTTTTGTTTTATCCTCACCTCCTCTTTTTGTATCCACTCACCTGCTTAGGACAAAATAAAAAAAACAAACACCCAAGTTAATAGCCTCAAAAATAACCACACTATGTTAGTTTTAGCAAACTATGCCCAGTTTAATATTTTAAAACATTCATACTATATCTGGTATTCATTATTAAGTACTTTGTAAACTTATTTCTATAATAGTTAATAAAATTTATAATTTATAAAGAATACAAGCAAAGATTTCATTAGATTGTCATGTGAAATGGTTATATGTGTTGTGATGTTACACATTTGAGCAAGACAGGTGAATTTATTGACTGAGTTTTAGAAATAATTTAAATAAATTCAACTTTCACTATAATATGAATTTACTTTTATATGACACTAAAGGCTCCTAAATAAACAATAAACTATAGCTCATTTATCATAGATTTATAAATAAATGCTCGATATAATATATGTAAAAATATACAGATAAAATATTTAATTACATTAAAAGCTTATAAAACAGATGAGAAAAAGATTAAAGCACAAAAAGAAATGGAAAAAGAATACAAATAATTAACACAAAATAAAATGCAAACATATGAAGCTTCAACCTCACCATAAGTTAAAAAGTAAATTAAAATAATTTCAATGTTATATTAGCAAATATGCATATATCCCAAATTAGGAAATTATATGTACTATAATGATTCTAACATATAAAGAGTGCACTAAAGAAAGAAGAAAATCATCGTTGTTTTTTTTTTGTATGGAGATATTGTAGTGATTCTCTTATCCAACTTTCTATGTTTTTCCCCATTATACAAATTTTCTTCAGTGGGCATAACAATTTTCTTAAAGTTACATAACATATCGCCAAAAAAAAAAAAGCAGCAGGAATACTGCTTGGTTTTCAAAAATTTTTCTGGCAATATTCAAAATGAATGTGCTGTTGTTTAAGGAAGAAATATGTAAAGCTGACCCAAATTTTTTTTTAAGTTGAGTAATACTAAAGACAGGCATGTTTGTGACTGTGTGTAGATATACACACATGAGTATACACTTATATAGGTTAAAAATTATTTTAAAATAGCAGAAAATACACAGAAAACTACTGATAAGGTGAAGAGGGAAATCAGCACTCCCCAGAATCATAAGAATCTATGTTATTCAAAAATTTTAAAAATCTGAACAAATGCTGCTGTGATTCCCATTATTTTCAAAGAGTGTAGTTGAACTGCTTTTCTAATTCAGGGGCTTGTTCATTTGTGAGCTAAGGGTCTCCTGGCCCTGCTAATTTTAAAACGATTTCTCGAAATTTTTTAGAGGAAGGCTCTTAGGTCCTACTTGGATATTAAAACAAACTCGGAAACTTGATATTATCACAACCTGGCCTGTAGCAATCACAGCACCTCTGGCTATTGACTATATCCCTCACATATTTCAGCAAGAGAATTTTTAGTAAATGTCATTATTTCAGAAAAGTCATGCTTCAAAAGATTCTAAGTTGGTGGTTTTATTTTCTCAACACCCAGTGCCTGGCTCTTCCTATAACCTCTTTAATACTTTGTATTGCTTTTATCACAGATTTTCTACCATCCCTAAATTTGAGGGCAAGAATAATTTTAAAATGTATTCATTTGTTAACTAAATATACAAAAGACACCTAATGTTGATGTTAACAATTTTTTAAATTATACAAATCGCAAATTATTACATATAACGTAAGCTTATATGACATTAACAAGGACTGATTAGGCTTCAAATTTCACGGGTCGTCTGAGTGAGAAAGGAGTTTCCATCGCATGGTTGTATCAACCTCTTCGTCAAAATTTCCCACGTCCTTCTCCTTAGAAAGCTCTAATATTCCCTAAAAAAGAAAGAAACAAGGAGGAAAAAGAGTTAGCAAGTTGTTGTCTTCCAAACAAACAGGAACAACAATACAGAATCATCAAAGCTGACTCACCCTTTCCAGTGTGCACTGAGAGAGGCTGTATTCTTCCAGGCTAAAATTGTGTTTCACTGAAAAAAAAAAGAAACTGGCAGTAGACACTTATAATTTATTTCCAATAATTTTATTATAGTCATACAAAATAAAAATACAAATCATTCATATAAATGTAACATAGAGTTGAAGAAACAAATGTGTGGTGACAGAATGAAATAATGAAAACTCAGACAGAATATAAATACGCATTGAGTTGATCTTGATATTAAAATTTTCTCACATTACTTTTGATAATATGCATTTCATTACTTAGTCTATGTGTCTTTGGGAGATATATAAGTTCCTTGAGGAAACACATAATTGACTGATAGATTCTTACACATGAAGAAGATTTGAAGCCCATTCTATTGCCTTTAAAAGGGCCTAATATTTCCATGGAGTTTTGCTTCAGCAAGTTCATATGCTGTACCAGCTCTCTGCTGGGCTTCCCCACCAGCAAATCTCCAAGAGAGGGGCCACCAGATTTACATATTCATGTGTTTACAGCACACCACTTATACATTGAGAATCTTCTCTGTGTGTGAACCAACCTTAGGCACCAGGGATAGAGCTGTAAATAAAACAGGTGAAAACAAAAACCCCTGCGTTTGTGCAATTTATAGTCTAGTAAGAGAAATATGGGCATTAATTAAATAAGCAATATATAATAATATATTAATTTCTACATATAATAAAGTAAATAATTGCTACTATGGAGAAAAAAAATAAATCAAGTAAAGGAAATGGGAAGTGGTGTTCACTCTTTTTACATAATGGTTAGGAAAGGCCATAGTAACAAGGTAATAATTAGGCAGAAAACTGAAAGAAATGAGGAAGCAGCCTGGATATTTAGGAAGTAGAATTCTAGAAAGAAGGATTAGCAAGTGCAGGACTATACGTGTCTGGCAGCAATTAGGAAGAACTAAGAAGTCAGGGTGCCTAGAGTGGGTGGAGCAAGTCAGAGATTTATATTATGTCAAGCACCGCCCACGAGCCAGGCTCTGTTCTAGGCTCTTTACCAATGAGCTCATTTGATCCTCTTAACAACCCTGTCAAGAGGGCAGCAATACCCTCTCTCATTTTAGAAACAGGCCAGCCAGACACGCGGGTATTATGCATCCTTGTCCTGTGTCTCCTAACAAGTAAGCAGCAGTACTGAGACAGGAACCCAGGGATCCTGGTGCTAGAGGTGGAGCTCTTTGCCACTATGCTGTGCTCAGAAATTCCACCATGGTTCGTTTTCAGAGATGATACAGCAAAAAGTGGAAAAATGATGATGAAGAGAGAAAACAGACAATTTCAAGTGGCAAGAAGAGTTACGCACAATGCCTTAGCTGAAGACACAGATTGCTCACTCCTCTCTAACGGGAAGACAGAAAATGCAGCGCAGACAGGGGGAGTTTTCTGTTGCCTTTATTTTATTGGTGAAATATAAAGCAAGGGAATCAACTATGGGAGAAAAGCAGAAAGGAGACATATGTAAGAGGAGGAAGGGAATAGTATAGTAATTCAGGACACTTGGTGGGAATGGATTGTGTACGTGCAAGCAACACGGTCTGGACTAAACGGCTTTCGGAGGCTAATGTCATGAAGCCACATGAAAACTAGTCAAGTGTGACTATGTGTTTTCTGCAGCTTCCATATACACTGGAAAGAAACCCCTTTCCAGAGACTTGGATTAACCAAAATTGGGGTAAATCTTATCATTAGGTACTATTAGGATTCTTAAAGTCATACCCTACAGGGCCTATTTTTTAAAATGCATTACATAATTATCTCATTAAATTATTATCTAAGTCTGAATTAATTCTTCAAAAGTTATTTTAAAAATAGTCATTCTTACCTGCTTCTAATTTGCAAAAGGCCTGAGATAGAGGGTAAACATCCGCCACGGGCAGTTTATAGGCCAAGAAGGAGGAATACCTGGGAATGGGAAAATGTCATACTTGACCTTGAGTTTTAAGGGGAAAAATGACCATTCAAATAAATATTTATATTATCATCAATTTCCTTTTTGAAATGAAAATAATGCAAGTTAACAAAGCTCCCATATGAAATAAATAAAACAATTTATCAATGAATGTTTCTTAAAATGGGTTTGGTAGCTGGTTGTGAGAGATATTTCTCCCAGAAATGGTCCAGCATAATTATACCTGTGCTCAGTTTATGCAAACCTTTTTCTTGTTGAACACAGATATTCTGAACTAATTCCGAATTAGTCAGTGCAAATGAGGCTGGAATTATTCTCAACTTAATATTGGATCCTTGTCACCAGAAAGCTAAAGAAAGAGAGATATGAGGTTGGGAGAGAGGGACATGATAGTGGAGGGATTCCAAAGGCTTTAAGTAAAGATGCCCCTGGCCGCTGAGGAGAGAAGAGCCAGGACTTATTTTTGGCACCATGTGTCCACATGCTGCTTCTGGCTGTGTGACCTCTTGTCCCATTCTCAGTTCCCTCCCAAACAGAAGTCTGATGCTCCCAGGAAGCCCCGTAGCTGCCCAGACCTCCAGGACTGGCCTTCTTCATCCCAGAAGCTTCTCCTCCGGCCCTGCCCTTCATGATCTTCCCACCTATATCAAACCTGTTTCTCAGATTTGTGACACCAGATGTCTGGAATTCTTCCGTGACCTGGCATGTGCCTCAGATAATTCCGTTATATTTACTGTGCTAAAATGGAAATAGCTGTTATGTTTTGCTTCTTTGGAGTGCTTATCTGTCCAAGGACTTTCAAATTCAGTTTCTGCTCCACCTCCTTCCCACCTCATCAATAAAACACACATACACACACACACACACACACACACACACACACACACACACACACACCCCTTTCTATTCTCCATTTTGAGGCATGAAAAGTCCACTAAGGGAAGATTCTTTAATTATCTCAGTTGCTATTTGTTCCCTATAAAGAGGATTCACCCAAAATAGTTATGTCTTTTAAATTATAAATATTTACAGGGAGGGCTGAGAAGGGTCACGGGCCTGCCTGCAGTCCTGTGTGGGTCTGAGTCCCCAGGAATTCCTTTGCCCCAATTTTTCCAAGCCTCCTCCAGAGAAGGGGATCCGCCTCAGATGGCAGAGGAGACCCAGGAATCTGTGTTCCCAGGCTTCCTTGGGGGACACCGCTTCCTGGGTAGCTCCCAAATCTCATAATCTGGAAGACTCAACAAGTCAGTTTTTAATCGAGGTCCCTAGCTTTCCCTATGAAACCAAATCACCCTGAAGTTGCACAGAGCAGAAAAGGAACCATCCAGTGGGTGAAGCCAACAGGTTTCTCCAAAATCAAAAGCTCTTTCACCTTTCCTGCCGTGAAGCCTGTGGGAAAAGCTTCAGAATCTCAGTGTGGACCAAAGTCTCTTGAGAAGTTTCCTTCACTTTTAGTTCTAGAATGTAATCCTTGCAAAGTTTGCTTTTCAGGTGTTGGATGGAGCCAATGCATCTACGGGCAAGAAGGAAAACATACTGGAATAAACACTGCTCCTGACATTTTTTTTACGTTAGTTTTAAATTTCAAATGGAAAGGAAAGGGCGTTTTTGAGGGGGTTGAAAAGAACTCCAGCTGCTCATGGTGACTGTCCCCTTTTCTCGGGAATCTCATTTTGGGGGTTAAGTGAAAGCTATGGAATGACACCCACCTCAACCTTCCGGACATCATGATGGCGATGCGGTCACAAATGGCCTGGGCCTCGGCCAGGTAATGAGTGGCCAGGAGGGCCCCCTTCTGTGTGTTTTTAATGGCTGTCTGGATCATCTGCCTGAAGAAAGCCCAAGAAACCAACACCATTAAAAAAAGAGCATGGGAGAGAAAGAGATGAAGGGGAAGTTTTATAGGCAAAATACAGTTAATGAATCATATTTAGATGCTAATTAAAAAAAAAACAGGGAAATGTGACTACTACCTAGGGTTTTTATAGCATAAAGAAAAGCTTTAAATATTTTTGGGGGTGATAATGGTATTCTGGTTAAGTTAAAAAAAAAACTCCATATCTTTTTTAGAAACTAACTGAAATACTTAGAAATAAAGGGCATGAAACCGAGTACTTGCTTCAAAATAACTGGAGAGTGGGAAAAGAAAGTGGAAGGAGGTATAGGTGAAGAAACATTGACCTTCTGTGGGTAACTGTTGAAATTGGGTGGTGTGTATAATGGGTTCATAAATGATTCTCTCTGCAAATGTATAAAATTTCCATGACAAAGTTCTTTTTAAAAGTTGAACAGTCACAAATATGAAACTGGACTGGAAAATTTTATTAGTCCAAATGGAAAACCTTAGATAGGAAACTAAAAAGAATTTAAAAACTAAGAAAAGTTATATAAATTTGACAGGTCAGGTAAAAGTGGGGGGAAAAGAAACGGGGAAATTATGTCACTAATTTGATAGTTTCTAAGAAAACAGTTGTAGACATCTCAATAATTAAAAGACAAGATTAAAATACACTCCAAATTGCAATGCCTAAAACTCTAACAAAGTCCTTAGAGTTTTTTGTTTTGATTTTTTTAAAACTGTAAATACCACTTGAGTATGATACAACAGTAGAGAATCCGTTTGTTAAATATTTGTTTTCCTAATAACATGGATTATCTTCACTAAACTGGGAACCGGTGGATTTGATTTTCTAAGGTCAGTTTAAAAATGCATCTTTTATACCAGGTTTGTACTTCTGGCTCGGAGGGGGGTAATTCTCACCACATTTCCTGCTGTTCTATAGGATCCATGCCTGTAGATGGTTCATCCAGAAGCAGGATAGGTGAATTTCCCAGGATGCTCAGCACAAAACCCAACTGAAACGCAGAGAAACACCCCTAGTGGCTGCCACCACCCCGCCCCACCCTCTGAACATCATCACACACCACGCATACCTTTCTAGTGGCTCCTGCCGTTAATTTCTGCACTGGGACATTCAGCAGTTTCTGCAGTTTGAAAGTATCCACCAATCTGAGGGGAAACAGGAAGAGAATGTCAGGTGGAGAGAGGATTTGGGGGAAAATGCCATCACACGGAAGAAGGGCAGCTTTGGAGGGATGCTGGGCGCTGTCATTCTCAAAGCTGTAACGCTAATGAGCAGGGGGAGACAACAGTTTATTATGGAACATGAACGATTTTTCATCTCGTAAGAAGTTTTAAAGAGTAAGTTGAACTCTGAATTTGGAACTGAAACATAGGATAATTCATTCACGTGTCAAACACAGCTCTTGTCCTTGATTCCTGCTTTACCCCTGACACTCTCTGAAAAAGCGGTGTCATTTCTACTCCCTAGTCTCTGCTAATGAATTAATCATCAATGTATGGTCCCCGTGCCTCTCAACACAAAGAAACCACGCGACCTCTCTGTACCGTGTGATGGCGACGGTGGCGTCCGCTTTCCTGAGCCCTTTCACCGCCGCAAACACGTCCAGGTGTTCCCTCACGGTCAGGTTGGGCCACAGCGCGTTCTCCTGAGGGCAGTACCCCAAGAACTTGACCGTGCCATCTCCCCGATGGCCCAAAGCTGAACTACACGCTCTCAGTTCCACCTACGACAGGAAATTGGTTTTAGAAATACATGTAGCCTTTTCTTCAATCACACAATAACTCAAGAAACTGGAATCTAGCTATTAAATATCTGGGGGTTTTTTGAGCATCACAGAAATGTTATAGAAATTATTTTATATATTTATTATTAAAAACTTTTTAAGTGACAGAACAAAGCCATACAAAGATATAATATATATTTATCATGAAAGGTCCCTTTGGAAAATGGAACCTGTTCCTTCAGTTTTCACTACCTTTCCTGCCGTTGGCTCCGTGACCCCAGATATCATTCTAATAGACGAACTTTTACCAGCGCCATTGGGTCCTAGCAGTCCCAATATTTCACCTGAAAGAGAATCACTAATTATCAATACTGGAAGTGAGATATTGATTAACATAAAGCTGTTTCTTCAATAACCTTATTTTTTAATTTTTTATTTTACTGTATTTTTTTTCCGTTACAATTAGTCCCCTTGTACTCCCTCCACCCACAAGGGGGTGGATATATTGAGCCAAAAGGAAAAAGAACGCATGGACTTCAATAATCTTATTTAATAACCCCTCAGTACCATTTTGAAATTTATAACACATATGCAGTCAACTAAAACATAACCTTTTGCTCCTATAATTATACAAAATATTGGTGAAAAGCTTATGAATTTGATGTTAATACATCTGTCTGTCTTTCTTTTCTCTTTTTTTTTTTTTTTTACTTTTTTTAGCAAAAAAAAGGGCCCCGATTGTTTTCTGCAGCAGACGGCCGATGTGCTGACTGCATGGATAAGTGATTCCTCAACTTGGGAAGCCGGCGGCATTGTCTGCTTCCCAGATTCCACAGCCTGTGTTCAAGCCACCTTTCGTCCGAACTGGTATAAAAGTCTCTTCACTTGCCCACAACCCAAATTTGTAAATAAGCAATAGCCAGAGTGTATTTTTTTTCAAAACATAAATTGTGACAAAATGCTGTCTTAAAGCCCTCCCAGAGCATTCCAGTAACTTAGCATAGAATCTGAACTCTGCTGCTTTTCACACAGCTGCACCCCTTCCACCTGCAGGTGCAGCCACTAGCCTCTCACAGGCATCCCCATGTGCGCGGCCCTGCCCTCGCTGTGTCCTCTGCCTGGGGTGGTCTTATCTCTTCATGCTGACGGAGCAGACATCTCATCACCCAGATGGCGGCTTGCATGTTACTGCTCAAGGAAGGCCTTCCCTGGCCCTAAGTGAAAGCAGCCCCAGGTCACACAGGTCATTTCAGATATCCGAATATTCCACATAGACCTTGCCTATGTGATCTTTGATACTTTTCTTGGTAAGTTACTTTTGTTTATCGACCCCTCTTAGGGTGTAAAATCCATGTGGACAGGAACTTGCCTATTTACTTCATAATTGTATTTTCAAAACCCAGAACAGTCCCTGAAACACTAAAAAACTATATGTTAAATGAATGAGCGAATGAATGCTTCAGCAGCTATCATGGTGTCTATGACACAGATGTTCAGTGAGTATTTCTAAAAATAATGATGAATAAAAAAGTGGTTCTTCCAAACCTTTTCTAACACAGAAGGAGATATTTCTTGCTGCTACTTTCTTCTTCCTTTTAGAAAAGCAATTTTTCTTCGGGCCTGCATATTTTTTGTGTAGACAGCTTGCGATTATGACAGGTTTCTGGAATAGATGACAATTGATTTTCCTCTTAAACTTCAGAGACTTTATGTTCCTATGTTCTCCCTACTGGAGTCCTTCATGCCTTATGTCATGAACCAAATCATATTTTGAGTTGAGGGTAATCCTATTGCTTGTTTCAAATGTAACGTGCACTCACTAACATTTCTTGCTTCTAAATGAGTGGAGCAAAACAGCATAATTTCATAAAAGCTGGCTCGTTGCCTTCCCAGAACAGAAGTATCTAACTCATGGGAATATCACAACATCTAAACTGAAGAAAAAAATAACCCTTAAAATGTTAATCTCTATTTAGGATTTTATAACAAATTTCACTCACATAAATTTCTCAACTCCTGAAATTTCTGGTTTTGAAATTATTGCTCTAATTATCAAAGTCCATTTTTTCTCTAAAGGAAAATAGAGCCATTAGGCTTCGTGTGCTTCTTTAGAGCTCCCAGGATGCTCCAAAGAAGTACCTGCATATTTAAAAATTATGAAAATGCACCAAATGCCAAATTTTCAAAACAAAAAGCATCATATCACAACCTCTATTATTGATAGTTCTCCGATAGTTCCATTAACATGCACTTTGTCACTTGGTTTTCTACCTCCTCTGAGTCTGAAGTGGTCAGGGCGGTTGCTGTTCTTCTTCTTTCTGCTTGAACGTCTTCATCTTCATCGACAGGTTCCTCTGGATTTGGTTGCGCCTCTCTTCGCTTGGGGTAAATTCTGTAGAGAAAATGAAATGAATGCCATGGGATCTTCCGAGTTGTCAAAGATGGGTCAAAAATCAGTCCCCCAGGGATTTTACGATTGCCCCTTTCTTTCAAACTGCTGCTGCCAATGCCCCAAATTCCCACCCTGGCAGCCAGAGTCCCTTTTTCATCATGGTTCCCATTCTTTTAGTTAGTATCCTTGATACTGTTCCAATGTGCTGGCGGGCATTACTGCTTCTTTAAATATCAGGTCACCTACATGTTCTCTGTTTACTACAAGCCTGTCTAATCAACCCAGCATTTGCCCAAATATCTCTTCGGTTCACCCTTTCTGGAGTCTCCCCGGCTCATGAAGCTTTTGGAACTATGTTGCTCAGGCAATTCCACCTCATCTCTTTTGTTCAGGGATGTGCAATCGTCTCGAATCGCAGAATGGTACGCGGGAGCGTTCATTAAATCTTTGAAGCACTGAAGGCTTCCCTCAGCTGGTTAGTGTCAGAACTCTGCCTGGAAACCCTGTCTCTCAGCAGTAAACCAGCAATCCACTCACTGACTGTCATGAAAACCAGCATGCTGTTTGCATTGTAAAGAAAAATCTGCATCAGCAGGTTGATAATACAACCACTATCTAGGATCATTGAAATACAATATTAAGTAGGAAATGAAGCTTTACCCGACCTGAAAACAGGATCCTTTTGCATTATTTTCTGCCCACACTTTATTTCCAGGCATCTTAGAACAAAAATGAATATCAAAGCCTGAAAGTAAGGCTAGGAGCAAAGAAAAACAGTTATATTTAGGCATTTCGTTTATAAATATTATTTCAACATTTGAATGAAATTGGTGGCCTTTTGTCTTCAGGTAAAATTGCTGTGGATTGTCTTACAAATTAGAGAAGTCCAGCTACACAGTGACAGTCTGGCTTAGTGGGGCCTCACTCCTTTCTTCTCAAAACATTCAATCCACATTCAATCTGCCAGCAAATCCTGTTTTGCCCTCAGAATTACCCAGAACCCAACTACTTCTCACCTGGGTTTGTGCTACCCCCACCCAGGCCCAGGTCGTTATCATTTCTCATTATTTAAAAAAAACAAAAAAGAAATCCAATAATATTACAACAACTTTCTACCTAGTCTCCCTCTTCTCCCCTGTTCCAAACACCTATTCTCGGCACAGCCACTAGAGCTCCTCTTTTGAAACGTGTCCTATCACAGCAGTTTGCTGGAAACTCACCAAGGACTTCACAGTTATGCAAAGTCAAGTCAAAATCCTTAGAGTGACTGAGAATACTCTGTGTAACCTCCTCTATCCACCCAGATGTCATCCCAGTACTTCTGTGACCTTCTCTCAGACCACTCTCCTCTTTGGTTATTCTGCTACCAGACAGATCTCCTGCCTCACCCTGAAACAAGCCAGGGTGACTCTTGTTGGAATGTTCTTCCCCAAGCTCTCTCTACAGCTTGCTTCCTGCCTCTCTCTGATCTTTATTTCTCAGCCAGCCCTTTCCTGACCACCCGTCTGATATGGTATGCATTATTTATTTAGTTTATTACCTGTCTTCTTTTACCAGAAAATAAACTCCACGAGGGCAGGAGTTTATTTTTTTCCGTCTGCATTTTCTCCTATGCCTAAAAAAGCACTGATGCATTATATTCAAAGACAGCAGCTTTCTTCAGTCTAAATATACCAACATCATCACATTTTTCCTTTTCATTTTTATTATTAAACTTTTGCTTTTTTATCTCTAATTCAGAGGATTTAAGTTACATTTCATCTCTATGTTTTTAAATCCTCACCTGAGGATAGTTTTTATTGATTTTTAGAGAGAGAGAGGAAGGGAGAGAGAAACAGTGATGTAAGAGAAAAATATTGATCATTTGCCTCCCATACACATTGCAGCCAAGGATTGAGCCCTCAGCCTAGGAATGTGCCCTGACTGGGAATCAAACTCATAATCTTTTGATGTAGAGGATGATGCTCCAACCAGCTGAGCCACCTGGCCAGGGCATATTTGACATGTATTTTTGACAAGCTCTCTCAAATTTGGAGGGGGATGTATACAGAATAAATAAACAGTAAGTATAATATATTGAATTCTGGATTTATACCATCCATTTGTGGACATAAAAAGTAACTCTAGGATTTAGAATCATGTTAGAATGCAATTGCTTATTCTAAGATTAAAACAGCTTTAAAGTTGACACACTTCTAGCCAAGATCAAATAGTTATTATAGTAGATGAAAACTGTCTCCCCCCCCAAAAAAGTAGGTGGTGAGTCAGAAAAACCTTCTTACTATTAGGCATACTAGAAGATCAACTCCACTCAGAACATAATGTAAGTTTCCACTTTCTCTTTCATCAAAGGTTCTCTGCAAAGACAAAAAAAAAAAGCTAAATGAAAATTCATCAGCTTTACAATTTCCATTTAAATGATATGGAATTTCACATATTGAATACTTTCTTAAGCTTGAGTCCCCTATGTACTCTGGTGACAAGCAATTCTCTTCTGAGATGTGAGGGGACCCCGTACTCAACTCTGAATGTCTCTCAATGTTTATCTTTTTCAATTCCTCTTTTTTTCTTTAATATTTTGGTTTAATTTTGCTGAAAGGCAACTGAAAGCATAACAGAGAGAGGTGCCCTCATCATGATAAATTGTAGGGGTCAAGAATATTTGTGCTAAAGAGCCATCACCAGCCTTTTCAGCGTCCCTTCCCACCCCAATGATGATTGTTTGCACCACAATAATGAGTCCCATTGTGTGATTCTCTTTTCATCAATGCAATGAATTCATCAATGCAATGAATTAATGCATTCAACAAGTAACTCATTAGCCCTAAATAATGTGTGACAGATCTAGAGTAATGTATTTCACTTTGCAGGTCTACTTCTATTTTAGGAGAAAAATGCTTTACACAAAGGAATCAATTTTCAATTCAGAATTCCAGACTTTGCTCAGCCAACGGAAATGTTTTTACACAAATTGGGGAAGCCCTCTCTACTTTGTTTAAAGCCGCTTCATTCAGGATGATTCCGTGTCCCCAAAAGTATCTCCCTGACTTAGCTCTTCTGCTCATCTCATTGTACATTTCTTTCTGTTTGAATCACATTCAGTGTATTTAATGCTTCCTGGCCTTTCCTGCTTCAATGCCTTTGCTTCCCTCTACAGAACATGCTTACCTACTGCCTCACTCTCTGACACCACTGATTTTTACTCTTTAGGACTGTGTTTAAACATTGATTCTCATTAGAAGAATTCTCTGACTCTCCAGAGCAGAGTAGCTGTGCTTGAAACTCTGCCCTTCTCTTTTGCAACCATTAAGTGTTTTGCATTGACTACTTTGAGGTTGGTCTTTGTCTCCACTAAGCTCCTTGAAAGGTAGGACTGTACTATCTTATCCATCAGATACCCCCAATTACTGGCACAGTGCCTAACATAGAGTAGTGATTAACATATATTCTGAATGAATGAATTACATTGTACCTGAGTGTATTCCTCACAATGGGTAATGGCTACCCATTAAAATAGGTAACATTTTTCCACCTAGCATTAGTTTTGAATAAACTTCTGTTTTGCAAAGTGTATATGGCAAAGTTTTCTTTTTTAATAGCTTTTTGAGGCTAAATTTTCACACCATAAAATTCACCTATTTTAAGTGTGCCATTCAAGGATTTTTAGTAAATTTAGAGTTGTGAGAGCAACACCACAACTTAAGTTAAGAACATTTCCGTCATATGTATTTCCCGTCCCTCCCCATTCCTTCCCCAGCCCCAGAAGAGTTGTAGCCCTCTTTCTGTCTTTGTAGATTTGGGCAAAGCATTTTAATAGGTTGCATATTTAAAATGAGTGACACAGTTGATAATATTCCTTACCTCTGTTACAAAAACAATAAATCCATCCAAGACAAATGAGGGAATAAATATCATACCCAAGACTGAAGAAGATAAGGATTCATCTCTGAACATAAGGATTTCTGACAAGTTGGCTGAGATCTACAAGGCAAGTTGAAATATATTGCATGTCAAACATATTCAGTCCATTGATATTTGAGGAAACATTTAAGATGTAGGTGTTCTTGTCCTATATATCATAATTTTCCTATATGCAGATAAACCCCTTTCAGAAACAAAAGGGAAAGGATAAGCTTTTGATAATGAGAATGCAGTGAATGGCACAAATAACACCCCTTTTTAATGACTGGTAATTAATTTAATTATTGGTAATTAAATTTTAATTACAAAATCTTAATCATGTAATTCTATAACAGAACAATATCATACTCAAGCACACCACATGACATTTTAGGTGAAATGTTCAAATTAAAACTATAAATGATTACACCCACATTATTACCCTACTAACCACACTCAAGTAGGCGTTACTTCTGCTGGACCCTGTATATTTGACCTTATAAAAAAATCCATATTGCCTCTCACCTGGACTGAAATTTTCTAATTGTCATAGCTGCTCCATAAAGTGCCCATTCCAAATAAATGATTTTTCTGAGATTGTGCATTTTGATTGTAAGGGACTCATGTTCTTTTAGATTACTGGTAAATGTTGGGGTGGAGTTGAAAATAATTTATTTTTCTGTTTTAAGAATCAGTTTAACAGTCAATAAGTATGTTTTGAGCACTTTATTGAACCATTGCTGGGTCTTACTAATGTATTAATTGTACTAAAACTAGAAAGAATCATAACTACTTAATTCATTGCATATTACACAAATGCTAGGCATTAAGAATTTGGTGTGCATTGTGTACTTTAATCCTCACAACTCTATAATGTAATTATGCATATTATCCCTCCCTTTATATATGGGAAATCTAGGGTCCAGAGACATTAAATAACATCCTCAAGACAACAAAGTTAGTGAGCGACAACACTGGAATTCAAAACTCTGGGCAGGTGTGATTGCTAAGCCTTTACATTAAAAACTATACTGTTTTGAGGAACTGTTACATAAAAAGGAATGTTGTATTGCCAGTAAGTGAATTTAAGGTTTTGGGGCAACATGTAATTGACATATGAAAAACAACTGGGGAAAAACAAATAATATCATCAAGTGTTCAGGAAGAGCACAAAAAGCATTTTAGATGGCAAATAGAAAAGACTTCTCTCATTTTACAACCTCCACAACCTCTCTGCAAAGATATTGCACAATTGTCTCTGTTTACATATTTCTCTTCTTTTAGCTTCCATGACATCACAATTTTGTTTTTTCCCTATCTCCTTCTTTTTGATAACTGAGTCCTTTAGTCCATTTAGCTGACTCCACTTATTCTACTAGGCCTCCAAGTTTATACTTTTGTGACTCTTTCTCTTCTTCCTTTTCACCCACTGGAACAAGTGAAGATGTCAAAATGCACCAAAGGAAATACTCCATGGCCGACTATGCTAAGATATGTTACTATATGCTCACCACTGGGTTGAAATATGGGCTGAGAGAGTGCTTCCTTATTAGACAAGGGCCTAAGATACCCATGAAGTGCCACACCCTTGGGGGTACAGGAGTCCACTGGACTTTGGAAACAAATTAACTGTTGTCTGTGGCTTCACTCAATGATGAGGAGACATTGCCTATACTGTCCTTCCAAGTATACCTAAGATGACAAAAGGACAACCGCACTGACTGTCAACAAGTGATATATTTTTGTATATAATCCTGTGAGTAATAAAATATAACCTCAGTTCTAAGATTAGCATGGTTTAAACTTATACCAACTGCATGATGAAAGATCAATTATCATAGTATTTTTCCTCAATACATATTTTGAATGAAATTGTAAGTTCTTTTTAGCAGGCATAAAGATATTGCCAACTGCTTGAGTCTCTGTGAAGATATATAATTTTGCCCACTAAAGTCAAGATATGGATCAACACAACTTTACATCAGTATTGTCAATCATGCTACTATCTCTCATATTTTTTGAGATGAGGGATGACATAAGGTCTGAGACCTCAGTTTTGTTCCTGGGTCTGTCAGTAGTTTCCGTGTGACCTTAAATAAGTTAATTATTCTCACTCTAAAAAATGAGGATGTTTTTTCAAATCTGACATCCCAATATTCCATAAATATATAGCTTCTTACAACAGTATAACAATTGAATAGTAGACAAGTACACTAAATAGACAAATATGAAACAAAAAAGAAAAAATCAGAAATTATAAACGTGTACTATACTATATATAACACTGATGCAATTTTTTAAAATTTTGAACAATTTTATTTTAAAAAATTTACTTTGCCTCTGCAATACTGTCTTATTTTAATACATAATAATTAAAAAATATTGACAGCAAAGGAAAAATAGCATTCATTCACATACATATGAGTATATTTTGATTTGAAAAATAGTGTTTCAGAGTCACATGTTTGATTCTCTGCTGTGGTCCTTTATTTGCTATAGCTTGTTCCACCACAGTGAAAACATCTTATTATCTCATTTGTCCACAAACCTAATGGAAAAAGTGTTCTGCATTATCATGACTTTCCCTAGAAATAACAAAGTCATATTTCTTCATTTGCTCATTTATGCTCTTGCATAATGAGGAATTATGCAAGAGGAACTCATTATATAACAATGCAGGTTCCATTCTGCCATCTACCACATATTGAGGGACATTTGCCCTCATTAGACTTCCACGCTTCATTATACATATAAAATATTAGGGGAAATGGCCTCTATTCTCTAAGCCAAGAGATGAAAGCTATTGTTCCTGAAGACTGTGGTGTTTCAAGTTCTGGAAGGTAAGTCATGTTCTGTAGAATTGTGCACTTCGAATTCCTGGAATCTGGACATTTTTGTCCAGCCCCAAGCCTCGCTCCAGAACCTGCGCCCATGAGAAGAGCTCCATCCTTGCTCTGCTTTCCCACTGAAAGCTGAAGGAGAAGAGGCTGAGGTATGGTTCTGCCATTGATGCCAACACTCCCCTGAGACAGTATCTGAGATATTGTCAAATCTATACAAACCAAATCACAAGATATTGTGAGTACAAGGTCAACCAGGGGCTAATTTTTCACTTGACACAAAGCAGAAGTACATTCATGTAGACTTCTTTTTTGTCCCAGTCTGGAATGGCTTCTATTTAAGGAGAACCAACACAAGAATGGGAAAGACAAAGAAAAGGGAGCCATGACCTTAGGCTGCTGATTATTTAGGACTGAAGGAAAAGAAGCTCAATGAGTGTCTATGCGAGAACTCACCGGGATAGGCCTAGCCTCCATTAGGCTGGCAGTAACAGACCTGTCAACAGTCATATTGGCAAATAACCCTGACATTGCTTGAACATCAGCTCTGAAAAAGACTTCATTCAGAGTTGAAACTACTGGAAAATACAAGGTATGGACACAAAATCTTTGTTAACCTTTGCTGGACATATACCAGAGTGCTGACTGAAATCAACTATTAGCTAGACTCTCTTCTACTGCCTACACAACACCTGGGTTTACATTGATCACAGGCGATAATAAGTTGACTGAACTAAAGTTCCCATGCAAAGGATGAACGGAAGACTTTTGGTATACCAGATCGTCATGACAGCCTCAAAGCCAGTCTTCCAAGTGAGGTATTTCTCTACGTCTTTCTGTAACTTCTCAACTTGTATTGGGTTGTTCTGATGATGGTAAGTGGGGTAGTTATAGATATGACCTGCTGAATACCAAGAAATACAGTCTGGAGAAGCCAAATCAGAATACTGTCCACTGAGAAGGGATAAGTCAACAGCTACCTGCTGACCAGGGCAGTCTAAGGTTAACTTCTTATAAAAGAGAGTGGGTGCAGTCAGATGTATTTTCTTAGCCAATGGCCTCTGGTTGGGTTCCTCTTGTGGTTTCAGGACTTCAACTCCAAGAGTTGGGAGCTGGGTTTGCAAGTCAGACATTCAACTACCAGGTGAGAATATCAGCTAAAATGCACCTGAACTGCTGGGATCAGGCACTCTGGGTAGCCAGAGTCTTGGTAGTTATCTCTATCCAAGTCTTCAGTAATCCTGGACCTTCAGTCATCTTTCATTCATACTTATGAATAAGTGTACTGCCATAGGTATAGAAACATCTCTAATTTCTAGAACTGTTAGCATATGAGTTTAAAAGACACTTTCTTAATGCTTGTAGAAATGGATTGTACTTGTCAAATGTTACCAGGTCAATTTTTGTTCTAGTGTTGCCAGGAAGCCCTGTGTGCTGAAGGATTCATAGACTCAACGGTAGCACTTGGAGCTCCAGGTTGCCTGTAAGGTACTCCATAAACTCTAGTCAAAGGGTTGTACATGAATTCTTCAGGAACATTATTGAATCAGCAACACATTACATTTTTTCTTCTTTCTATGGTATAATTTCTCTTTGCTCAGGGCAAAAGTGAATATATTTACTATTACACTTAAAGTTTAAAATAGAACTTTCTCTCTATTTGTATGTTTTCATATATACTTACAATATAGAAGCAAAATGACCAAAGGCCACTATTTTTTCTCCTCTTGCGAAAAATAAATGATATAACATATGTCAAAAAGATGAGAGAGGATGCATAACCAAACGTAATTACAACCTAAAGATAAGAGAAACAATACCAAAGTCAAAAAATGAAATATTGAGGGAAAATTTAAATTATAAATATTTTAAAAGATTTTATCTAACATGCATTTTACATGTTCTTTTTTTGTTTGTTTTAATTTAGGACAAATAAAACTGAAAATGTCTTAATTATATAAAATATCAAATGTTAACATTTATCATGAATTACCTGATAAGACAATCTCTATATAGCGTGTTACTTACCAAACCAAACACAATTCGACTTGTGATAAAAATTGGTGCGATGTATGATACGTAGAAAACTAAATACATTATAAAAAGAATAAAAGCGAAGAGGCTGATGTCCACCAGGGCCTGCCCACACCAGTAGGCAGAAGGGTAGAGGCCTGAAATCCATAGCTGGGACTTAACTTTTTTCTGATGAAAAAACACAGGATGCAATTAACATCCAGATCCAAAACACATTGGGAGACATGTTAAATGCAATCTGATCAAATACTTTTAAATTTTCTAATAATTTTAATTATGCATACACTCTTTAATGGAAATTAGCTAATTTCAGTAAGGTGACCATTTTGAAAATGGGTATTATTTTACTTTATAGATTTGATTCACAACACCACTTTAACTTATGCATAATAAATAGAAAAGCAGATTTAATAATGATCAAGGAATGCATCCCCTTCAAAAGAAGTATCATTTTGTGGTCCACAGGATAATCAAATCTCCATTATGTAAATATGCTTTAGGAGAGTTACCGGCTCAGAATTGTGAAGGATGACTCACCTAAATCTCATTTACCTGTTTGACTTGGATAATGGACATAACCAAATACAAATACAACATAAAATTGTATTCCCCACAGTAGAAAGCAGATTCAAGTCTTAAATCTTGTCTTGTTTAATATCTATGATTTCTTCTTTGTAGAGAAGAAACAAGATAGTCAAAAGTTTTATAATATTCCCTTATGAATGTTTAGATTAACTTGGATCCCTATAAAATTATTGTATTTTCCCCCTTAATTTTGAAATAAAGTATTTTGTGATTTCATTTTTATTATATTTTTCTATTACTATTTACCCCCCTTACACTCTCTTAAACCATCACTCACCCACCCCTACCCCCAACATGAGTATTTTGTGTTTTTAGAAGTAAATTTCTGACTTGCTAGAAATAATGCTTAATTACATTATCTAAATTAAACATATACTTAAATGTTTTTCTCACAGGATAATGTTTTGAACAAATAGCATTTAAAACAAAATTATTGAGCTCCCTGAAGTTGTTTTTCCTTCCCCTCCTCTTACGTTGTGATCGCTGACGCTGCCCATGGCGATGTAAGGAGAAATACTGCACACAATGGAGAATAAGAAAAAGGAGGCTTCCGGCAGCCCAGTCCAGGTTAATACATAATCCTGCAAACAGAAAATGCACTTTAAGCAGTGAATATTTTTAAAAAATTAAACAAATACTAATAACCACAAAGAATATGCTGTTCAAAACATTGAAAAATCAACTTAAAAGTGTATATGTAGTTCGCCAACATACATGCATGGCAGTGTGTGTTGGGGGGGTGGTACTTTCTGATTATGAAACCTGAGGTTTAAACTCTTAGAAAAAAGGGAGGAATAAAAAATAACTCCGGACCCACTTCAGGGTATATATGAAAAAGAACTGAAAGCAGGATCTGAAAGCTATGTCTGTCTACACATTTCATAGCAGCACTATTCATGACACCCAAGAGGGGAAAGTGACTCAATGTCCATGGATAAATGTATAAACAAAATGTACTGTATACATACAATGGAATACTATTCAGCCTTAAAAAAAGAAAAGAAAATCCTGGCACATGCTACAATATAAATGAAGTTCGAGGGCATCACCCCAGGGAAAAGCCTGTTACAAAAAGACAAATGCTACATACTTATCCTTATATGAGGTATCAAAAGTAGTCAAATTTAATAAAAACAGAAAGTAAAATGGTGATTGTCAGGGTCCAGGGAAAGGAGTAATGAAAAGTTCTTATTTAATGAGCATAGGGTTTTAGTTGGACAAGATGAAAAAGTTCTGGAGGCCTGTTTTCACAACAATGTGAATATACTTAATACCAGTGAACTGTACACTTAAAAATGGTTAAGATCGTAAACTTCATGTTACGTGTGTTTTACCACAATACAAAAATAATTCAGGGATTCTGGTCCTAGAGAAATAGATTAGTCAGACCTGAGCAGCAGGTGTTTCTCAGTCAACCTAGCGATAGATATGCGGAAACCACAGCAGGCAGCTGGACATGCTCTGAAGCATAGAGCTAAAAAGAAAATTGGATGCACCAAGCCCATCTTCCAGGGGATATAAATCACCACCCCCAAACCAGTGTCTGCCTGAGGGCTAGGCCGATGCTCAGGTAGGGTACAGGACCGTCTCTTTTGCAGTAGCCTGTCTCAAAATCACCCCCCAATTCTCACGTTTTTGTTAAGGCTTTGGGGGCTATAGCTAGAAATTTTTCAGCAGGTGGGGAAAATGTATTGCTGTCTTCATAAGAATGGCTGAAAAAAGAAAGGTTTGGACCCCTGGGGAAGCTAAGAGTGTAACCGTGGAGCCTCTGCTCATTTTAATCTTGGAACAGCATGAGGACCAAGAGGAGGAACATCTATCTTTTTGTACTACCAGCTGGTTCCACTTTCTGGGGACTTCCCTTCAGACACCGCCACTCTTGAAGCTTTCCTGCTCTCAGGGACAGTGATGGCTTCAGCTCACAGGATTATGTCACCTGCTGACCTCTCAAGCATAGTCCATCCATGTGCTCCCGTGCGTTCCCCCAGAACCAGTGATGCAGGGAATCCAAAACTTAATTCAACCCCTTTGTTACAGAATGGGCTTCCCTTTTTGAAGGCTCCATTTCTAATCCTGTTCATTTTTCTTCCAACATTCTGGTTGGAAACAGTTGAAGTCAGCCTTGAGAGACCCCTATTGGGTATCACTCAGGCTCTAGCCAGAAACCATAACCACCTTGAGTACTTAAAATAGAGTGAAATTAATCACACAGTGGTGACATGGGCGGAAGGAGCAGACAGAGAAGCCAAGAATGATGACATGGGAAGCCACTGTCACGTCCGGGTTGGAGGGGCAAAGGAAAGAAGTGATGTCACTGAAGGCCAGGGTGTGAGATCCTTCTGCAGTCCTGGCTAAGAGCACTGCTTGCAGTTGTCAAGCCACCCCAGAGCCAGCTGACGAAGAGCCCCCGAAATGCAACCGGTGTGTAGCAGACAGTCCCCCAATGTAGAGCGACAGGGTAGGTGAAAGAATTCCTCAGAAAGCATATAGTCCAAGAACTGGTAGATTCTCCTTTAAATCAGCCAATCTACTAATGTAGTCAATGAAGATCCACCAACAAATTACATTAGATTTAAAAGATTCTAAAACAGGGTTAAATGTGTTCCTGATTTTCAATTCAGTGTATAAACACACACACACACACACACACACACACACACACACAGAATCTCTTTCTCTCTCCAATACACTCCTGCAATCAAGTATGCATCTTTTCAGAAAAATTTCTGGGAGACTAGGACATAATATGGAAAAGTATTCCCCCATGAGAATTCTCTGATCATAATGAGGGAAAAAATCATATTCGGTTAGACATAATCTGTTTAAAATATAAGGACAAAATTAATTTTTTAGGAATAGCAATCAACTATAAATATTTAAAAGCTAAAGAGGGAACACACAGTGGCTTGTCAAATTCCTAATTGTTCAGAATGAGTAAAGACAATACTTACAAAAGGAAATGAGCTTCTTGCATTTCGAATCTGTAGCGTATGGTTAAACATTTGAAGTAGCCCATTGCTGATAATATTCATAAGAATAGGAAAACAGTGCAGTCTTTTGGTATTGCATACAACCGAAAATCTATAATCCTTCAAATAAACACAAATGAAACGATGTTAATTCTAAATAATTAAACAACAAAAAAGATTTATACATAAAATCCTAATGGTGCCATATGCTAGCTGTGTGACCATCTTCAAAGTCACCTGACTTTTCTGAGTGGCAGCATCCTTATCTGAGAAAGGCTATATATAATAAATAGGCTGTTATGCTGTATAAATGGGATAATGTATATTAGGCCCTAGCACAGTCAGCAACATGAATTTTTTTTAGTATTACTAATTTTAGATCATTTTGTCCTCATTTTGCTGATAAGGAAATTTCAGCTGATGGAAATTAAAAGTAGCCCTGGTGAGGAAACTGTCACTTGGGGTGAGCAAGCAAAAGAACCCAGTTTTTCTGGATACGAGATAAGCATGGGGGTCATAAAACATTCATGGCTACGCTGCCAATGAAGCATTTTTACACTTCCTAGGACAATATTGATGTTCTTCATGGTAATAAAAAAGAGGCTCAATGTTGTTTAAATATTACCAAGAATTCATGTAATAAACATGATGGTTAAGTAACAAGTAAAGCAACTGCTAAGCAATGTAGTTGCTCACATTGAGATTACATTTTTTAAATGACACACTTAGTTTAAAGAAAACTGAACGATGTAACATTGAAGACGTATAATTGATACATCTTCATTCATTCATTGACTTCATTTATTTATTCATTTGTTCACTAAAGTCAATGATACATCTTCAAAGGCTTTTGCTTTTCTCCTTGTGGCAAGAATAAAGAGGTAGCTTCACTGAATTGAATTCCTTGTTTTCATTGGAATGCAAGTTAAGACACAGAGTTTACTTATGATTAGGATGTATTTTCAATAGTCTTGTTACTGGAAAGATATCTATTGCTTATAGTTTTTACTCAAATTGACACATGTTAAGATAGTAGGCTGAAAAAAACTTTTCTCAGAGACTTCAGTAGCTATGATAGTATTTAATGTATCTTCTCAAATATAAAAAGACAGTTTGGGTAATTAGTCATTGAATAGAGTCCTTTTAATTCATAATCATCTCTATTGGTAACTTCAAGTTCTAATATTTTAACAAGTTTGAACAATGCAATTATATCCAGCTGCTTTTAAATGTAAAAAATAATCTAATTCAAAAGTTATGATAGAAAATGTTACACAAACTTAATTAAGTTTCCCAGATTATTTAATAATGACCCAAAATGTTTTTTGAGTCAAGTTGCTGCATGCAGGGCAGGGTTGACTTTCCAAGGTCTGTAAGACAGTTAAAATGTAGCACTTTATTAATTTTTTTTCATAAAAGCAAAAACAAGAAGCAAGCGGCAAATATACCTTTTGTTTACCAGAAACTATGATAGCTCCATTGTATGACAGATCCTCAGGGCTATTTCTGTTTTTAAAGTCATCAATTTCCAAAAGTATATTCTGATGTTTCAGTGACTGTATAAAATCTTCAATATTTGATTCTAATATTAAATCAATAACAAAAGATAATAAAAAGCAAGGACATCTATGTAATTTTTTTAAGTAAACCACATACACAATTATATTTATATCATGTGAAGGGCATGTCCCTTTGGGTATCATTATAATAATAATATTGGCCCATGAAAGAGAACTCATTCTACTATCTTCTATGTATCTACCATTACTCTGTGAGGAGTTAGCTTTATAATTCTACTTAATGTAAGTTAACATGTGACCATTAAGAATATATAATTTGATTTTATAACTCTTTGTTGAAAAAAATACATTTAACCTCAATAATTTGTGGAAATACAATAGTTGTATGGGGAGTACTTTGGATTGGCTGGCCTAAAATAGCCGATAATACACCCCTCTTGCTTCTGTATTCTCCAAGTTACAGAAAAGTAAATATATGTAGGTGTACGTATGAATGTATTTTCACACATGAATGTATTTTATACATTTACATATATACTAGATACACATATATTTCATAAATATCTTTTTGTTAGGAAGAAGGAAATGAAAAGAGTGCCAGTATCAGATCAAAGTTTTTGATATGCTCCTAATAAGGAAAACAGAGAAGTAAGAGGTAAGAAAAACCCTAGTACACACAGGGGCCAACAAATATAAAGGTAAAACCAATTTCCAAGGGGCCAAGTAGGCTCTGAAGTCGTGGTCGGGCTCATTGACTGTTTAACCACACCCGGAACAAAGTGACCACAGGCCCCTCCCTCTTCACACAGAGAAGGTGGCAGCTGCACTTGTCTTCAGAATATAAGTCTCCAAATTTACATTCTAAGAGACATTATCTGGGAAAATGGCAGGGCAAGACCTACAGCAACTCCAGACAATTAGAAGACAGAATTTAATGGAAAAAAGGGAAAAGAAGGACTCTCATTTTTGGCTCATTTGGACTTTCAAGTGGGAGCTGGGGACAGAACTGGGTTCTGGCACCAGAAAAATGGGGCCAAGCGCCAGGTGAATTAGGATTCCCACCAGGTGAGAAAGGGGCATACACACAGAAAATAAGCTTTCCTTGCATCGTAGGACAGTTAGCCACACAGCCTGATCCATTTCCACAGTCACTTGAGGTGGTATAGAAAGGGGCCATCTTAATGGTGGCCCCCATTCATCTAGGCAAACAGGGATTCTCCAATTTAAAGATGAACATCTTATCAACAATTGTGACGTTTTGGGGAAAAAAGGAACAAGATGGCACAGAAGCTCCAAACCTAAATGACAAAATACCTAACAAGTGAGTATAGGGAAAAGAAAAAAATAAATAAGTGAACACCGTATATGGTTCTTAGAGTAACCGGAGAGGGAAACGTGCGTGAGGCACCTGAAAGGTACTGAAACAATTCTGGATCTTGGAAATCAAACTAGCAAGTCTTTCGGGTTTAAGGTAGGAGAATGAATAAAATTTCTAAAACCCACATAGAAAACAACGAGAATGAGAAACAAACAAGAAGACCACCTTTGTTTAAGGAGGAGACATCCAGAACCCTGAGTCACAAATGTATATGAAAATTATAGTGGGCAGGGAACTCTTCAAGAGAGGAATCCTACTCTGAATATATTTTGTTAAAATTTTAGGGAAAACCAAAAAATCTTCTTCAAAGTTAAATAAGGAGTAGGTGTAAACAGTTAAACAAAATCAATTATCCATCCTTTAGGATAACAGGAACACAGGTACTGAATTATCTTAAGGAATCTTCCTAGATCCTATTGGACCTCTACATGTCAGTCAATATGTATAACATTTAAGGTAGAAGTAAGGCTGCTGTAACAAAGAGATCTAAAAATTGAGTGGTTCAACCAAATCACTTTCTCTGTCACATAGTAGCTTAGGGTCACCAGGCAGGTTAGCAGCTCTGCCCTACCAGGCTAGGCAGTGACCCAGGATCCTTCTATGCTGTCTCCTTGTCCCCGTCAGCCCCTACACTCAGAGCAAATATGCAGTTCTTCAGAAATTGTTTTCTATTCACAAAATCTACATACATATTTTTTTCTCTTATGGTTCACTTTTCCCTGTCTACATAAAAATGCCTTATTTCTAGATTTGAATTTTGTTTTTCTGTTCACCTGTGTTATTGATGATCAATAGGCTAGTAAGAGGATCTTGGGGAAGTTGTCCAGGAGAGAGGAAGTACAATTCAGGTCTAAATTCCCAATCACTTCTTTGAGTTAATACAGCATTAAAAATCAGTTCCACAACCACAGGGAAAAGTGCAATTCCAAGCACCAACAGTCTATAAAAAAGAAAAATTACCATATGAATCTATAGCAATTTTTTTTATTCAGTCAGATATTTCACAAATATTTGTAGAATACCAACTTTATGCCAGCCATAATGGTAAGCGCTAAAATTTTGAAAGTCATCCCTTAGCATGCCACACAGTACAAAAATACATTGCTATATAAACGGCAGGCAATCAGACTATGAAAGCCAAACAGACCTGTGAATAAGGTTAACTGAGTGCTAACGTACAGGTGTTCGCACTGACAGCAAAATCAAATGCTGCACGTATCCATGCTCTGGCAGGAATTTTGGATGTTATGTTCTAGTTTTAAATTTTGTTCCAGTCTCGCCCTCTCCTGAGACTCCCTACCCAATGAAACCACAGCACTCTGTTACTTACAGAATCAAAAGCTCATTCTTTCCGTGTTTTAACTTCAAGAAACGGAGCCACGCCATGGCACAGACCTGCATCCCCCAGAGCCGCAAGCCGCTCGCAGTCTTCTGAATTTCGGGGCGAGGCGAGCAAGCCGGCTCCACTTCGCAGAGGCTGTCTGTGTCCCTGCCCACCTCTGCTTCGTCAAAATAAACGCACGTGCACACACATACACAGGTTATTAATGCCATTCTTGAGTCATCACAGTTTTCTCTTTTTAGGGAAAAGTTGTCTTAGGAGGTTTGTTACAAAACAAACAATATAAGCAACAGATTATGCCTATCATGTCCACATTCAATAAACTTGGCAGTATAATATTCTGAATTTATACCGAAAGAAAAATTCAGTAAAGGGCGATCTCATTGTGTCCAGTCTTTAAAAAGGCATAGAGGGTCCTGTATGTAACTATATTCTGAGGGACTTCAGGAAACCTTCTCCATAGAAATAGCTAATCACTAATGCCTAGATGTCTACTATTAAGCTATCAATAATGTGGAAATCGAGGGGAAAGACTACCAGCTCTGAAACCACAAGACCTGTACCTGATTTCCAAATACATGACTTACAAGTGGTATTATTTGGGGGCAAATGACTTAACTGCTCTTAAATGCAGAGCATGAGGCATGATTTTCTCAAGTGGAAGATGGTGTCAATGACACTTGTTAGAATGGTTATTGGAGAAAAGCAGTGCAATATAGCCACACATTGATCATAGCGTCTGGCATAAACTCTCCATAAATAACAGCTCTTAGTATTATCACCCATTAAAATACACAAGAGATGATCCTAAGCTTTTCCCCCATTTAGACCTTAGTGGAATTTGATGTATAAACAAGCTAAGAGCAAGTTTTAAACAAAGTATCTGATCAGAGTTCCTGACCCTGACTGGGAGGCTTTTATATCCTCAAAATGACCAAGAAGCAGTGAGCATCTGGGGATAGAAGAAAACTGCTGAAAAGGAAGCAAGTAATTTCTGAAGAAGCATTTGGTATATTCCAGGGGCAAGCTGTGTTGAGTCCTAGTGATGACGTTAGGAAACAATGACAGCCCTTCCCATAGCAGCAGAGTCAAATTTGGGGTTAGTCACATTCTTTTTTTTTAATATATATTTTTTATATTTTATTTATTTATTTTAGAGAGAGCAGAAGGGAAGGACAAAGAGAGGGAGAGAAACATCACTATGTGAGAGAAATACCTATCGGTTGCCTCTCGCATGCCCCCAACTGGGGACCTGACCTGCCGTCCAGGCATGTGCCCTGACTGGGAATTGAACTGGTGACCTTTTGGTTCACAGACTGGTGCTCAATCCACTGAGCCACACCAGCCTGGACTAGTCACGTTCTTTAGTGTAATTAAACATAAGACATTATAAATATTAAATTGATACATGGTCATTTGGAAATTAATTTTGTATGAATTATACAAAGGAATTTACCTTGTTCAACAGTTGACATTGCTTCCACTCCCATGAAGACTTCATTCAGAGTTGACACGGAAATGTCGTAACTCATCACACCTTGGCCAGAACCCTTATTATCAAGATCACTGAAAAGGTCTAAGGCAACAGACAGGAGTAGGTACACTTGAAATACCACTGATAACTAAACCTGGTAAATTAACATATTTAAAAGATGATGCAGAGTATCATTCATAACATTTATGTCTTTGAAATACCATGGAAAGCAAAAGCAAGATTCCCCTGGAATGCTCCCCCTCTCTGAAATGAGTATGTCACACCTCTCCCTTTATCTTCAAACTGTCTGCACTCTATCTTGTGTTCTCAGCTCATGAACTTCCTGCAAAAGTCTTTGAGGAAATATAAACAATCAGAGAGAACATCATCTTCTCACCTCTATACCACAAGTCAACACGTGCTTCTTTCCATGTTCTGGGTCTTTCTTCTGCACAGGTAGAAGACTTGCAGCTGCTCCTACCAAACGTTACCTCTTGACTTGTGTTCTGAATTCCATCCCTGCTGGACATCTCAGGGACTTTCCAAAATAATCTGCCCTTTCTCACTCTCTCTCTGTCTCTCTGTCCCTTTTTCTCTCCCTCCTTTCCTCCCTCCCTCCCCTGAATCATCAATTTCTCCTATATTGGGTCATCCAAATAGCATGTAAGGTTGGCCATCAAACAAAGAAAAAATATGCACCCAATTAATTTAAAACCCAAAATGGAACCTGTAGCAGACACCTTGACGCCCCACTCCCATCTCTTCTGCACTCACCTTTAACAGCAAATCTGCTTATTAAGAACACCTGCCCGAAGACCCTTTTTTTCCTGGGCTCTGTAATATACTAAAGCTCATGTTGAGCGCAAGCCAGATGGGTCAGAAAATTAATGCTCTGGACACATCTCTTAACCAATAATGGATAGGGAGTGGCAAATAAATACCCTAGCTTTCTCATCCTTCTGGCAACATAATTCTGAACCCCTTACTTACTCATTTATTTCTCCCAGGGGTATTACACTTAAACTGCTTATTGCCATAACCTGCTCGACAGGGCAAACTTCCCTGGCTTCCTTCCCTTCTCTCTCTCGTGTCCCTGTTCCCTGGTGCTTCCAGGCATCAATGACCAAACAAATTGCACTAAAATCCTCCTCTCAAGTTCTACTTAGGAAACCCAACATAAAACAAAATCCAAATCTATTAAGCAATGAACGTTGTAATAATAATGTAAACACTTGTTCCCAAAAGTCATTCCATTGTAATCATATTTAAGTTACCTGGAAATTTATTTGTCCTCTCCATTGGCAAAGTATACACAAGCTTTTCTTTGTTTTCTGTTTTTAATTTAGCATCAGGGATGTGATGATGAATGAAGGATGTTATTTTTTCTGGATCACATATTTCATTCCTGTACAAACTAATGTTTGAAAAAAAAGACAAGTCATTTGTGCTTTCCCCAGTGCTATCACAAAGTAAGTGCTTTCTATTGAATAGCTAGCCTTTGAGTACTACTTTACTTGGCTTTAACAAACAAATGATTTTAATAATAATAATAATAAATACGTAATGCTATCAGATTGAAAAATCTCCTGATCTATACAGAGGAGGTGTATAAACTCGGAACAACTACAAACAAATACATAATGGAATTGAAACTTGATATATATCCAGAAGGAAGACAAACAAAAGGAGGTGAGAACAGTAGAAGAGATTTCTTAAGGAAAATAATTATTACACTAGACTGTGTGGGCATCAGAAGTTACTGGCTAATAGGCAAATCTGGCCAACATGCATGTTTCATTTGTCCAGAGAGTTTTTGCTTAAATTCTTTTTGACTGGATACACACATTCTTGTTACACAGTCCTCTTTAGTCTCTGCCACCAGATTTACTTCCACTTTTGATACCAGCTTCTAAAATTATTTGATTTTTGTACCCTATTAAAGAAGGAAAATATGTCAGTTATATGGATCAACTGAGGAAAATGGAGCATGGAAAGAAGATAGATTTTTAGGATGCACAGAGCAGCCACCTGGAAAGTGGTCCAGCTTATAATTTAGAAATTTTTCTTATCACAGTGGAATGCAGGAAAAACATTTAGGAAACAGTCAATAGAGCTTGGCAGAGTTAAGCATAAGGTCAAATCTCTCTCATAGTTGTCTACCTTTTTGATATATCAGTATTGAAATTTATATATATATATATATATATCCAATTTATCCCAAAATTCTTTACCTTAAGTGATATCCAAGACCCCATTTTTTCTTCAAAAAGAGAGAAGAGCCTGCACACTTCAGTCTCCCATTGGACATGATCACTTTTCTATCTGAATAAAAAGAAGCAAGAGAGAAGGGATGAGAGGAGTCATTTCTTCCCTCCCTAGAAAACATAAACGAGGAGCCAAAGCTCAGATTTCCAAAGGAGAAGTGTTCTATGGGGCATCGCCATATTTAATGCCTATTTGAAAGTTTGAAATACACATTAAAGTTGAACTTTAATTTAAAATGAACTTATGAGCTTCAATTCATTTCAGTGTCCCTTAAAACTTAAAAAAAGAAAAAAAAAGAAATTACATGGGTGCATTTTTTTTACTATGAATGGGATCCTAAAGAATGAGTGGATATTTTTAACCAAATATATATTAAAGCATATTTGGATGTTAAAACTATGAAAAGATGATCTGAAAAAAAAGTCACATTTTTTTATTAGTGGTCAAAATCTAGCAACCATCCAGCTGGAGAAGAATTATGCACTGGGACTAGGCTCCTGATAGCCCTCGGACTGGTATGCGATATAGGCCTACCAAGGCAATCAGAGTAGGGCTCTTGGCCTGGGAATAAATAGTTCCCAAATTTTTTATTCTAATATTGAGATAAAATCAACAATTACTAGCCAGGATGTCAGCCTCATCCATGAGATTGGTACTCAAGAGGATCACGCGGCCTGCTCTGCGCTCCTTGAGGAAGCTCCACACTCGCTGCCTTGCAAAGGGATCCAATCCAGCCGTTGGTTCATCTAATAGCAAAACCTGCAGAAGATGATGATATATAAAATATATCTTTCTCCCACGTTAGCTGTTTCTGATGATGGCATGGGTAACAATAAAAACCAAAAATGAGTAACTCTCCAACCATTTATGTCCAATATACTTATGTTCATAGTTAAACATGGCAGATTCTCTCTTGATTCATGACAATGAAGGCTCTTCTACCATTAGTGATAAACAGCTGCTTGACTTTTTATTGATATTCCATCTGTATTCTGCCACATGCATAACAGCACTTACTTGAGGATCCCCTAAAATGGCAATTCCAAAGGTCAGCTTTCTTTTCTGTCCTTCACTTAAATGTTTAGCAAGGTGATCCTGAATGTTTTGTATGTCCAGCTCCAATAAAATTCTCTGCACCTATAGAAGAACATATACAAAGCTTAAAATCCAAGATGACTCATGCCATACAAATGCAACTGTTCATTACAGCAGGAGGTGTTTTTAATAGGACCTCAATGCCTAAATTCTACGCCTAACAGGACAGGTAAATCACTGAGGGGAATTCTGTGGCTATGATCTGACTTGACAAATGATTGACACTTTAATGAATCTAAGCATGCCCGTCTACCTCTTGATCCACTTCCTGTGGATGAATCCCTTTAATCTTAGCAAACAGCCTGAGATTTTCCTTCACAGTAAGTATGTCAAAGTGAATATTGAATTGAGGACAAACGCCAGTTATCTTTCTGATTTCCTCCAAGTCTTGCATTTCAGAAAGATTTTTGTTGTAGATGGTAACTGATCCTAAAAACAGAAGTGAAAAATAATTTAACATTGGCAAGACAATACATTTTACTGATGCTTGAAGAGCTTATTCATGGAAATGATTGCATATATATACACAAACACCTAAAATGATGACTTCATAATTTATTAGGAAGCACTAATTATTCTTAACATAAATTTATGCTCAGAGTAGTGTGTATTCCCACTGAAATATAACATATGAATGGAATAAAAATAGTAATTTTCAAACAATTGGGAAATATATTTAAAATCATATAGTTCTGAGAAATTAGATAAACAAAAATTATTTTCTCTTAAGCAGTTAAATATAAACCCTCAAATGAGAAAGGCTACATATCACCTCCTTCTATCATCAGACCATCTTGCCTTTGAGAAGTTGTTTTTTTGTTTCCATTTTTCTCACCTTCTGTTGGAACGGACAACCCATTAAGGATGTTTAGCAATGAAGACTTGCCAGCTCCACTATGACCCACAATTGCTGTGATTTGACCTTCATATATGTCAAAAACCAAGCCTGTTTTTAAAACAAAATACCAACATCTAAGAGAGCATTAGACAGGGCTGGCTCTAAAGACAGAACAACAGATGTATACATTTACATATCCATTTATACATGAGCATGTATACTGGAAGTAAGTGTAGTGTGAATATTTGGAATTAGAGTTAATTTTATCTTCTTCTCACTCCAAACAACAAGAAATCCTTACAGAAGTTGAAGATGTTTAGACAAAAACCTCCAGTTATTGATGAGTTAGAAAGTGGCTCATAATGTGCTCTGGAAATTAAAATAATACATTTAAAAATACCTCAATAAAGCCTTGGCTAAAATTAAAGAAAGAAACCACAGATCTACATCATATTTGATGAGAAAAACATGGAGTGAGAATAAACTTGCTGATACAACTACATTAAATTCTCAATTTGTAAGATCTAATCACCAAATGCAAAGGAATAAGTAAGACAAGTTAGGGGGTGCAACATTTGCTAGAAAATAAACACAATATAAACACAAAGGACAGAGAACTCTCAACCCTCAGGAAGATCTATGGCTTACTTCAATATTTGTTATAGAAAGTTATATTGTTAGTATTAAATATGTTGGCTCATTCAAAACTATAAATTATGTATGGTTATTGACTTATGAAATATAATTCATCATCAATGGTGCTACTCATCTTGTCTTAATTAATCTCAACAGTACATGTAAACTATGGGATTTTCTGGCTAGTACAAAAATATTTATCAATCTTAAGTCTAAATATTCTTTCCTCATAGTGCCAGTAAAATAAAATATTCCTTATAGCTATTTCATCTTAAAATACAAAGTAAAATTGCATTTTTCACTGTATGGTTCCATTTTTGTAGATTAATAGAGCCATGAAACATCCAAAAGGATTTTATATCCAGTTCTTAATCATGGTTAATTTCTGCATGGTGGAATTAGACTGCACATTTTTAAAATTTTTCTTTCTATTTTGTTCATCTATATTTCCTAATTTTTCCATATTGAGTTTTTCCCATTTTTTGAAACAGTCAATAAAACAAAGGTTTTTCTTTACCTTTCAATGCTTCCACTTTTCCAGACTTTTCTTTATATTCTTTTTTAACATTTATGATTCTGAAATGACAAAAGGAGATGCTTACTTAGACAACACAGAAATAAAAGTGCTAAGATCATGAAGAGCCCTGGAGAGAGGCAGTCAACCACTCCATGAAAGGAAGGATGGCACCTCCTGTGTCCTCTGGAAGACAAAGCCTTATTTTTGGTAAATGTTTCCCCTGCAATAAACAATAGAAGTCTCTTTAAAAAGTTATGCTCTGTAATCATCCCAACTTTGTTCATCGAGTCTTAGAACATCGGATGTTTTCCCCTCTTCAAGATTAGCACCTTTACCTGCATTCTGTAGCCATCATCTCCCAAACCCTCTGCCCCCCTGAATTTTCCTCTCTGATCGCTTCTATTTGGCCAGTAAATCTGCTTTAGATATGGTCAGATTTCTCTGTCCCCTAATCTTAAAAAAAAATTCTCAAAATAAAAGTGTGAACTTGACATCTCCACTTCTTCAGTCAATTGCATTCTTGCTTCTGAACCCACAACGCTAGTGACCCTTTTCATACTGAAATCATTAGTGGCCTCCTAATCACCAAACACAACAAGTACTTTTCCATCCTTATTTATTGGGTTATGAGTCACCATTTATGACTTTCTCCTTGTTAAAAGTGTCTACTTTCAAGGTGACACTCAACTTTATTTGTTTTCTTCCTATTTTTGTAAATGTTCCTTCTCTGTTCCTTCATAAGGTTCTCTTCTTTCACCTGACACATCAGCTTGGTCTTCCACAGGGTTCTCTTTGTATATTATAGTTTCTATCACTATAGACACTGTTGATGGGTTATCTCATTGATTCTCATGGTTTCAACAGCAACCTAATGTTGACCTCATATTTGGCCCTGAGATTTAAGTTCATATATCTAAAGGTTTGCTGGATTTTTTCATACAAATTTCACACACACACACACACACACACACACACACACACACACACAGCCCCTCCCAGATCAGTGCTTGCTGAACTTAAAAGCACCTTGGAATTCCAAAGGGAACTGCTGCAGAACAAGGCAGGACATAGGCTCAGAGACATTAGAGATGTCATGGCTACATAAGATCATGTACAACGCATCTTCAAGTTCAAAGGGGAAAAGAGATTAGTCACCCTCTTTTCTGAGCATGAATGAGAATAAAGGTATGGACACTTATTCAACCAGCAGGCTGATGGTGGTGAGGTTATACCAAAGACTCTGGAAATTTAAAAGGAAAAAGTTTAAAAGGTGCTGAATCTGACAGGGCATTTTATTTCTGCCTTTCTTTGTGTAGTGTAGCATCCATTGAAGTGGGGCTTTATTGTATTTTAATAAATGAGTTTCCACTTAGGAGCACCTGGTTGTTTTGGGATTTCAGAGATAAAGGTAGCCATTTATGTTTGGTGGAATGTCTATCCCACCTGTGTACTGGAAATGTTACACAAATGGTCGAAAGTTACAGGAATGAACAGATGTGCATACAAATGTCCCAGAGAAGATGGAAAATTGGGGGATGAAGGGTTATGGGTAAGAGGGAGCCAGTTGTGAATACAAAGTTGATGTTTTTGCAGAACAAAGATCTTGATTATGGTTAGAACTCTGCAAGATTTTCTCAGTATTTCCAGATACATATAACTAAGGGCTGCTAAGGAAAAAAGACGAGTTCTTTAATATATAAAACAGAGAGTGCCCGGAAGAAGGGGGATTAATAACTTAGTACCTTCTATATCTATGCAAAATCATATTTGCATGTTGAGATTGACTGGGATAGATTTGATGCTTGTCTAGTGGTGGGGAAGAAGAACCATGTTTTTAAGAAAGAGTTGCAATGAAGAAAGAGACAAGACTTATGGACTGGGAAGAGCATCTAATGTTTGGAGGTGAAAGGTGATTTTAGGCTGCCTTGCAGCTCTAGAACCTGTTTCAAAAGACACTGAGTGTGCAGGCATTGTCACTAAAGAGCTGTAATGTTGGACACCTAAGCCTACTTCGCTACTTTGGTATGGACTGGGGTAGGGCATCCCACAATGGAGCCAAAAACTTCAATGACTAAGCCTTGGGTTAGACAACTTTCCTGATTTTTCAGTGGCCTCAGACCTCCACTTTAGTGTAAAATCCAGAGTAAGAGACAAGGATGTCCAGTGTCTAGGTTGGGGGGTGGGGAGGAAAGGGCTACGTGGGTGAGGACATTTCACTTTTCTGTCCGTCACAGCAGCAGAAGGACAAAGAATATTTTCAATCTGTGTAACTAACTAACCCTAAGCCTCTCTTCTAAGATTGGACCTGAAAAGTATTATAATTTGAACAGTAATATAATGTGCGTGTGTATGTGTGTGTGTTCTCAGCTGAGGAAGAGGGACTGCTGACATTGAAATAGTTTGGAGGAATTATCCCTCACTTAGCCTTTCTCTTTTGGACAGATGTTTTCCATGGATTGGAGAGGGGGTTGCCCCTCAGAAAGCTTAACAGAAAATAGGGTTGGAATTAGAAAGAAGAAGCTGAGGTACACAGGTTCACCTTCTGCTCTTTTAAAGAGAAAAATTTCACTTCTTAGCCTTAGTTCCATTTTATTCATCTTCCTTTGCTTACTTACATATCTCTAGTAGCCAGAGGTTAAGAGCATAGATTCTGGAACTAGAGTGGGTTCCAATCCTAGCCTCCCATTTATGAGCCGGTGACGTTGGACAAGTGACTTGACTTCAGCACTTCACTTTTCTCATTTGTTAAATGAGCATCATAAAAGTGCCTATCTCATCAGCTTTTTGTGAAAATTAACTGTGTATCTCATACATAGTAAGCACAATCTGAATATCTGTTAAATAAATAAAAGGTTAATATCTAAAACTCTAATTCTTTAAGTTTAGTGCTTATTAGAAAAATCTACAGGGCTCTTTAAAATCCAAAGATACTTGGGTTCAAGCCCACACCCCCTGAGTTAGAATGACTGAAGGTGGGGGTCTGAGAGCACAGATATTTTAAGAGCTAGTCATATGAACCTGTAACAAAAACCTTACAAATTAGACATGACTCTTGTTTCCTAGAGGACAGAGACTTAAAGAAACTTGTTGGGTTTTTTTTGAGATTACACATCAAATAAGAGGGAGGTGTGGTATTAAGATATAAAAAAGACTCCAAATTTCTTTCTTCTTCTGTCACGTCATATAAGCCAGATGAAACTATGGAGGAAGAAATTCAGAGGAAGAAACGAGCAAGTATAAAAGAGGTGGGGAACAAGAGACAGAAACAAGGAGGGAAACAAGATGGAGGGCGATTTGGTAACAGTATATGGAGCTAAGCAAAAAGAATTTTCTTTTCAAGTAACAGTGAGGAAACAATGGTGATTGATGTCAGTGGGAGAGTTCAAAGCGATGGTCACAAAAACAAATTTCTTCTTCGGTATTTTGCTTCAGGCTCACCCTCTTGCTATTGATTAATAATTCATTAGCCTTGCACCCATACATTAGTATAAGTGTGATTACCTGATGGCTTCCTTTCCATGGAATTCTGGAGCTATTGGTTCAACATAATCATCAGAGGGATGCTCGGGATCAATTTCTTTCTCAATGGTCTTATCAATCCTTCGGTGTTGGAAGCAAGATGATGAGCTCAGGAAAAATAATGGAGAATAACGGCGGTCATTTCCATCTAATGAATCAAGAGACAAGAAAATATTGGATCAGTAATAACATAACGAGCAAAGAATCCTTGTTCAAAATAGTGCAGAATATCTTAGACTTTCAAACATCATACAGAGAATCTTTTCTAATTTCCTAGTACCGAGAATATTCTCAAGAAAGCTTGGTAATTAAGTAAGAAATGAAAATCCAAAGGAAATAACATATTATCACAAAAGTTAAACAATAGAACTTTCAAGAAAGCATATATCAAAGGTTTGAATAAAATGAGGTCTAAAGGTATTCAGGACAATAAAACCAAATATTTTGGGGGAAAGTCTTAATATGGCATAAAATTAATTGTAAACATATTTGTGACCTTAATAAATCATTTGACCACAGCAATATGATTGAACATAATACTGAAATATACAGGGTCTGGCTGAAGTAAGGCCTGCTTGACTGTGGCTGGCAGGATAATAATACGAGTATAATAATTTACATTTTTAATTTGAACATTTCACCTAAAATGTCATATTATGTGCTTGAGTGTGATATTTTTATGTTACAGAATTATATCCTTATGATTTTGTAATAAAAGATTTTGTAATAAAAAGGGGCTGTTATTTGGGCCAGACCCTGTATATGGTACATGAATTAGAAGTACATGGAGCAACTTTATTTGTTCCAGATGAATATATGATTATTTCCTAGATTAAAAAAAATGAAATAGTATTTGTTATTAAGAGCCTTCAGATATAAACCAGAAATGATAGAAAGACAGGTATACATAGAAACAACCTTAACTACAGTCAAAATGGAAGGAACAAAAAAAAAAAAGAAAAGGCAAGAATACTGTGCAATGAAAAAGGCATTCTGATTCTAGTATATGTGAAGGAATTCTGGGCTTATGTGAAATTTTTGATTGTTTGCAAGATAAAGGAAATCTACCTGGGCACTAACTTCTGTAAACACAAATAATATAAGAAAACTTTTCAGAATAATGTTGAAAATGTTCTCTCTAATTTTCATTTTGTGATTTCCTTAATGAAAGATATCTCCCCTTCTGAAATGGTCCTTCCACAAACAGTGGGGAGTGAAGAAGACTGATTATTTCACATCTGGGGTTCTTTTCAGTTGTAATTAGTTTACAATCTGCTCCACATTTTTGTAAGGAGAACAAATATTTACTAGAAAGTACTTTACTATATCATGGCCATATACTATATAAGCCAAAACCATCTTTAAGAACTAAGCTATTTCAGCTTGATCTGATACTAATCCTAAATATCACTCATTGAAAACACTTTCAGAGATCCTTGAAAAAAGTAACATTATTTAATACTATATAATTATAATATCTATTAAAATTATCATTACATATTTATAATGTGTATCATTATATTAAAGTCAGAAGAATGATTGTTTTTACATAAATATATTTTTCAGGCCATTAAAACTGTGAAATAGAAATAAAGAATGTATGAAGCCTGTGATGGGAAATACTTGTTATTCATCATTTCTTAAAATATATTTATACAACCTTTTCGAAAAGTCTTTAATATGGTCAATATTTGTTGAGATCAGAGAAAAATCCACTATTACTTACATGGTAAGATTTTGTCAAAGTATAATGTCAATACAAAGTACAAAAAAGCATCAAAAGCCAATATGAAAAAAGTTGCTATCATTATGTATGAGTCTCCTGATGGGTCAGGAAAAGTTACACCATGCATATTGTAATCCAGGTGAATAATCTAAGATTCAAAACAAAAATAATAATAAATACTTAAATAAATAAAAAAGCAATATAGCAGCAAGGATTATCATTTTTTAAAGTAGCTTTTTAAAGAAGCTCTTTAATGAAGTCATTAGGAAACTACTCTCATTTATAGCAATCAAAGGATTATTAGAAGAAAATATGGATTTTTTAAAAAATACAAGGCTCTAAGAATAGAAATTTAAATTATAATACATTTGCTTGTTTTCATTGCAATATAACAAAATATCCTATATACCCAGGAAATACAAATTTTAGATAAAACATATAAAGATTTCTTTGAAGTATTGTATTAGAATACTGATGAGAGAATTTACCTTTTTCTAGTCATTGCTGCAAATGAAGACTTGTATTTATAATTTTTTATGTAGTAACAGCTACTATGTTCTAGGCACTGTGCTAAGTGCTTTTTATATTATCCCATTTAATCTTCATCATAACCCTATGTTATTTTCATCTGCATTTTACATAAGGTAAAAAAGAAGTTGAGTGGCTTAACCAGAAGTAAAAAAAAAGTTGAGTTTATTCTAAAAATGCAAGGTTGAATTGAAATTCGAAGCTCAATCAATCTAATTCAGCATAAAACAGATTGACATAGAAAATAATGCTGTCAACCTAATAGATGCTGAGAAAAGAATTTGATAAAACTCAATATCTGCTTATAATAAAGAAAGTCTCCTCACAAATGAAGATAAGAGATCTTCCATAATCTGGTGAATTAGATGTACGAAGACCAACCCCAAAAATAATGCTTAATTGAGAAATGTTGAAAGCTTTTTCTTTGCCTGCATTTGCACTCAACACTTGTACTAGAGGTCCTGATCTATGCTCTAAGGTGAGAAAGATAAATGAATGACATACAGGCTGCAAAAGAGAAAAACTATCATTATTTGCAGACAACATTATTATACATAAGAAAGTCCTCAAATAAACCATGAAAATGCTCAATTTAATAAAAGAATATAGCAAGAATACTGGACACAGTGCCAATGTGCCAAAATCAGTTGCATCTCTCTACATTAACAACACACATTTAGCAGTAAGAATTTAAACACAGATGCTATTTACAAGGGCATCACAAGTATCAAATACTTTGAAATAAATCAAACAAAAATGTGCAAGACTATACTGAAAGAAAAATAATTACTAAGGGAACATTCATATGAAGATATGTTTTAAAAGTGTGAGTTTTCTCCAAATTGAAAAATTCAACTGTGTCAAAATCTCAACACCTCTGCACACACATACTGTTTGTGTATAACTTGGTAAGTTAATGGTGTAACAATAGTAAGTTACATTGCAAAGAACCTAGAATAGAAAAGACTCTCTTGAAGAAGGAAATAAAGTGGTTGAATTGTTACTACCAAATATTAAGACGCATAAGACAAAATCACTAAGACAATGTGACAACAGTGCAAAGATAATCCTATGGGTCAATATGTGACTGGCTGAGTTGTGACAAAAGAAACACTGCAATTCATTTAGGGAAAGAATGGTCTCTTTAATAAATGGAGCTAAAGCAACTGGATTTTCATGTAAAAAAATAATATTGCCTCTACCTAAAGATTCACAAAAGTTATTTGGAAAAGTCTTTATATCTAAATATAAAAGCAGAAGCAGTCGAGCTTTCATAATAAAAAGGTAGTAGAAGGATATCTTTGTAATCTTGGGACAAGGAATGATTTCTTAAACAGACTCCAAATTGCTCTATATAAAAGAAAAACTTGACATAGTGGGCTTTATCAAAATTAAGAACTTCTGCTCATCACCCAAAAGAATCACTACGAGAGCAAAAATGTCAGCAAGAAATGATTGCAAAATGTCACATATTTAGCATGTATAAGGAACCCCTACAGAGCATAAAGGAAAGATAGAAAACTTGGCAACACACAGTGAAAAGGCTTGAGTGAGCAATTTATAAAACAGAAAATCCAAAAATATATCAATAATTAAGGGAATACAAATTAATTCCATGATGATATATCATAACATTTCCACCCGAATGGCTAAAAGTTGAGAGACTGACAATACCAAATATTGGTGAAGGTTTAGAGCAACTGAAACTCTGAAACACTATTGATGCAAAAATAAACTGAGGCCACCACTTTGAAAAAACATTTGACAGTGGCTGTAAAGATGAAAATATACAAACTCAGGGTCCCGCTATTCAGCTTCTAGAGATATATCAAATAGAACTGAATGTCCACATTTACTAGGAAATATGCATAAGAATTTTTTGCAGAGTTATTAATGATAGTCAAAAAACTGGAAAATATTCTTGTCCATCAATACAAAAATCAATAGTATATTCACACAATAGAATACTGCATAACACTATACTACCATAACTACACACAAACTGTGGATGACCTCTAAAAACAATGTGAGTGGAAAAAAAAACAGATTTTCAAAAATATATTTTGTACAGTATCATTTAAGTTGAAAAGGCACAAAACCAAAAGAATTACATTTCAGAACACATACTTAGGTGATAATGAAAAGCAAGAAAGTAATGATCATAAAACAACTCTAAGAGGAAGGAGTGTTTAGACCTCTGGGGTTGTGGCAACCTTTTGTTTCTTGATCTTGTTCATGGATCCTTTGGTTTATTTTATAATTTTTGGTTAAGTTCCATATTTATGTCTTGAAAGTTTTTCATATTTGAGGTTTTGAAAAAGGTTTACCAGCAACTTTAATCATCTAGCTTTATGTGAAGTAAAAAGTTTTATATGTAGAAATAAAGCTAGAAGAAAAAACTTCAAAATAAAAATTACATCTGAGATATGAAAATTTGAAACATTTTCATATTTGAGCTTCCTTGTGAGATGACCATTTTTTTCTACAAGGTAATAATAAGATTTTCATATTTAGCTTTAGAGTAGCATTGTTTAGAATAAAAGCTCTTAATCTGAAAGTATTGATTATGAAGAGCCATGACATACCAAATTCTTTTGAAAATTCAATAATAAACCAATTAACCATTCTCTCACCTGGGCCATTCCAGCAGTGAAGGCAAACGGGCTAAAAATACTCAAAATCCACTCCAAAGATGAAGGAAGCTGTCTATAAAGTGCAGAGAGTCCCACACCCCCCCAAAAGACAGTGAAGAGAAACACAACCAAATTCGTGAGGACAGTTTTGTTGAGTAGCACGCTCATCAGGAATGCTAAAGCTATCTGAAAGAGAGAGAAGACAGGTGGCTGTTACACAGATTTAGTTCATCGAGAAACGCTAGTAGCACAATTGAATAAGCATCCTAACACCTTTATGAGTGAGTCAGTCATGAAAATATTAGGGTATAACTATACTCAATCCTTCTCTCAACCCCTTTATGAATAGCATCCCTATGTGCCCTTTTCAAACGTTGGGCTTTTGTTGCTGAGTAAAGAGTTGGGGAAACCTGGAAGAACTGCTGAGGGAGGGGTGGAAACGCAGACTTGGAAAGATTGAAAGAAATTAAATTAAAGTATTGAAGAGCATCTACATAACCTTTCACAGAAAACACCCTGAAATGTGGCAGAAAATAGAGGCTCTTGTTTAGAGAAGGGAGAGGGAATGGCATGAGAAGTCAGGATAAGGTGGGATATTAGATGGAGGAGAGTTGGCGTGCACGGGGGAGTTTTGGGGAAAAGATGGGTTCACGCCTCAAGGCACCCTCGTTGATCATCTAGAAAAGTCTTAGATACTTTAGAGTCAAAATATTTTTTTCTTTTTGATGCATCATTTAATTAATTCATATCTTTGTGTGAAAGAGAAGGCTGGCTTAATTTAGGTTACAGCATTTTCTCACACTCGGAGGCTTTCTCACACGCGCACACAAAATGGAATGAAAGAATCGACTGCAGGGGCCTGCTGATACTATTTGTGCTGCGTATCACTAGGACCTAAAGCAGGGGAAGTGGTAATCATTGCATGAACTTACCAAGGATAAGCCATATAAGAAAAAGAGTGTAAATATGACCATGAAGCCTGTCATGACTATAATTTTGGTAGATGTTATGATAATTGCAATGATTACGGAAATAATGAAGATGGAGCCAGCATAGATTAAACCCCAGGAGAACCTAAATAAAGACAAAAAGTTATTGCAATTATTTTAATTTTATTACAAAATGTTGAAAACACAAAGTGTCTAAATAATAATGTAATGATGGCCCCGTGCCTGCCATCTAGATTAATAACTAAAATATTAATATTACATTGGCATGATTGTGCCTCCTGGCTACATGCCAGCTCTGTATTCACATACTGTATAAATAGTATGAACATTGTATAAATAGTATCATCTCATATGGACTCTTCTACCACTTGCCTTTACCAGTCAACATATGCAATAGTATACACTGCTATATATTTCATTGTTTGAATATATCCCAAAGTGCTGCCCCAAAATATTTTGGTTGTTTGTTTCTTTTTCTAAAATAATGTTTCTAAGGGCATTCTTATACTTGTCTTTTTTGGGGGCGGGGGGAAATGCACAATTTCTCTTGGGTAAAATTGCTGAATGAAAGGAATAAGCATTTTGTACTTTCAGCTTTATTGATTACCCAAGTGTTCTAATTATAGAATTGGAAGGAAACTTAACAGTGCTAATCAACTGAGTAATCTTGGAAGCACTGCTGGCAGGTGATAATTTGGTCATTCTTGAGAATCCCAGCGAGCAGCGCCTCCACTCTCCCTACCAGCAGAAAATTAAAATTTCAGCTCTACTAAGTCCATTCCATTCTCGCCATTCCTATTCATAATTTCCTTATTTAAGATTATGTAAATTATGGTATATCTTAAGAGTTCACACTGTTCTGCTTTAGATCCGCTGGCAGTCACATTTTTTATAAAGTAGTTGTTAAGAAACAGTATTCAACCTTAGATCTAACAAGCCTATAGGGTGTTTTAGTCCAAACTTCTCATTTTACAGAAGAGTAAACTTCAGTCTCTATTATTAGTTAATGGGCCTATTTCAAGTCAAAAGAATAAGACCATTTAATAAAGCTAAGATGAAGCCACTGGCCTTTGCTCAGCCCAGAGCTCTCTCCTCTATATAAATTGCCTAAGGAGGTAAGAATTGAACAGCTAAAAAAAATAGCGAAAGTATTAAAACTGGGAGCTTGTATCAATATGTCCTAGTAGAACATGTTTACTGCTTATGTGACTACTAGAAAATTTCAAGATTTATTTTTTCATTGAATTTATTGTAGTGACATTGGTTAATAAAATTATATAGGTTTCAGGTGTATAATTCTATAATACATTATCTGTATATTGTATTGTAAGTTCACCACTCCAAGTCAAGTCTTCTTCTATCACCATTTATCCCTTCTTTACCCTCTTCTACCTGTTCCCGGTCCCCTATCCCTCCGGTAATCACTACACTGTTGTCTGAATGTATGAGGGGTTTTTTTTTCCTGTTTTGCTTAATCTCTTCACCTTCTTCACCCAGACTCTTAAACTCCCTTCCCTCTGACAGCTGCCAGGCTTTTCTCTGTATCTATGCGTCTATTTCCACTTTGTTAGTTTACTTTGTTCATTAGATTTTGATATAAATGAAATCATATGTATTGTCTTTCTCTGACTGGCTTATTTCACTTAGCATAATACTCTCCAGGTACATCCATGCTGTCACAAAAGGTAAGATTTCCTTTTTATTCCCAATGGCCAAGTAGTATTCCATTGTGTAAGTGTACCACAGCTTTTTCATCCACTCATCTACTGATGGGCACTCGGGCTGCTTCCAAATATTGGTTATGACGCTGCAAGGAACATAGGGGTGCATATATCCTTTCAAATCAGTGCTTCAGTTTTCTTTGGATAAATTCCTAGCAGTGGAATAGGTGGCTCAAAAGGCAGTTTCATTTTGAATTTTTTGAGGACACTCCATACTGTTTCCCACAGTGGCTGCACCAATCTGTGTTTCTACCAACAGTACACAAGAGTTCCCTTTTCTCCACTTCCTCTTCAACACTTGCTGTTTGTTGATTTATTGATGATAGCCATTTTGACAGATGTGCAGTAATATCTCATTGTGGTCTTAATTTGCATTTCTCTGATGATTAGTGATGTCAAGCATCTTTTCATATGTCTAATGGCCATCTGTAGGTCCTATTTGCAGAAGTGTCTATTCAGGCCCTTTGCTCATTTTTTAATTGGCAAAAAAAAATTTAATTTTGGGTATAGACCCATTTGTTTATTTTGTTTGTTTGTTTCCCTTGCCCAAGTAGATATATCAGGAAAAATATTGCTACGGGACTTCTTTTTAAATTTCATGACTTTACAGTGAGGCAGTCTGTGTTAGAAACAGCATTTTTGAAAAAGCATAATGCATCTGCAGAATCCACTTCCTGAGAATATATAGGAACTAAGTAGGTAGGAATTGAAAAACCAGAGGGTAGGGGAATTACAAACACAGGAAATTAAAATATTGCCTAGAAAAAGGAACTCATTGCAGAATAGATGTTACTAAACTCAAGAAAACCATCATTATAACAACAAAACAATTCAGATGTCATACTTAAAGAATAAATCCTGATTATGTTTCACATTTATTACAAAAGTTAAAAAAGTCATAAAGTTTATTTGCAATAGGTATCCTGTATTTAATTTAAAAAGTTTCAGAATGTTTTTTCTTCTTAGTTTTAAGGATATATATATGTATATGTATACATCTTGCTAAATTTTAGGTTCCATGCATACTAAGAAGCATTTATCCTTGGAATGAATCTACATCTAACTATCCAATGCCTTTACAATTTTAACCTAGAGTTGACTTGGTCCTACCTATTTCTGGTAACCGCAGAGATACTGTCCCACAACACATGCCCTGAACTGAAAGATGGTTTTCTTTATACAGATCCCTTCTTTCTTCCCTCCTAACAGACTCCATCCATTTCTTCGTATTTCCCAAAGTTCCACTGCAAAAAATGCTCTTCTCCTTCTTTCTTTTTCATTGAAAGACACAGTTTCCTTTGTCTAATTCACATTTCATATATATCAGAATCAAAACTCTCTCTGTTAGTCAAACAATTTATAGAAAATTTAAAATTTCCTAGACCATATTTTTATTTCAGGGAACATGTGTTTTGCAAAAGGTTGTTCAAGAAATAGTTCCTCATCCATTCCAGATAGTTCCACATTCCTAAATAGAATCTTCTTGATAGGAGAATTGTACAGAAAAATATCTCCCAGGTTTCAATATTGAAAAATAGGTTTTTTCAGGGATAAAATTAATTGATTCTTTTCCTTTTTCTTTTCTTTTTTTTCTTTTCTTTTCCTAGATAGTATGAACTGTGTAGCTGACTGTATTGTAGAATTCTCTGCCTTGGTGTCTTGGCAGCTTAGAGCTACCAATCCTACCTACTTACTATTTTCCTAGGTTTCTGCTTCTACTCCTCAGTTATTTGTTTTTATTTTACTATAAATGCACACACAGATACATGCATACACACATATTTCAAAATTTCATACTCACTTTAAATTATTCATGGAATAGGACAAGATATAAATATATCAATATATAAAGAAAGTACGCTTATTAAGCCCTTCCTGTATGCCTGCTTATGCACAACATGTGCTGGGAACATTATGTAAGCTATCTCTTTTTACACCAGCATCTGATATTTAGTTCCTCAAAAAAACATATGTCCCTGGTGACCAAAACTCTGAATATAAGTTAGCCATTAGAGAATTATATTTTCTTCAACACAAGAGATTCTCCAGAAGTCAAAGGGTAACCATGGGCAGACCCAGCCAGAGAGCAGCAATCAGGGCTCTTGGGTTGCAGTCTGGCTCTAGCAAGCATCTGACTCGGGCAACTCTTGCACTCTTTTTGATGTGAACAGTAGTTGTGTAACAGCATTAGCTTAACATACTCTGGCACAGAAGAAGTGCTCAGCAAATTATAATAACTATCTTGCATGGCAAAATTTCACAAAGGCTAAATCAAAAAGTCAGAACAAAAGAAAAAGTAGTCAGTATGTCAAGTTTCAATCATGATATTCTGGAACAGTAATGGGTTTTCGCTGCTTCTTCATTTCTCTTATTCATCGGTACTATTTGAATCAGTCACTCACCAGAATGCTGAATCTTGTAGACCCATCGTTGTCATCAAATCCTTACTCTTTTTTCTCTCTTTTGTAACATTGAGTGATGCAAAATATATAAACGAGGAGAAGTAAACCAAGCAGTAGAAAATAAACATCTCATTCTGAAGGATGTCTTTGGCAATAAAAGGTAATGTCTTCATATTTCTAGCAGTAACTGACATCAACTCTTCCATCACAGAGTGATTTGTCATGATCTAAAAGTGTTTAAACAAACAAAATAATTATTTAAAGTAGAGAAACTGGTGAAATCAATAAGCTGTGGGGATTGTACCAATGTCAGTTTCCTGGCTTTAAAATTGTCCAATGAAAATATATTTCCATTTAAAGAAAGGGGATGAAGGGCACACAGGCCACCATGGACCTTGTTTTTGCAACTTCCTCTCATTCCATGACTACTGGAAATTTTAAAGTTAAAAAAAAAAGCAACATGTTCCTTTGCCTAAATCCCATTTCAGCATTTGCATACCTGCTTCATTATATAACCATGTGAAAACCTGAGTATATATCACCTTTCATCAAAATCTTGATGCTTCTGGAATTAGTTTACAGTATTTATTAGAACTTTTCTTACTTCTATAATAGCAGCATTAATTGCAGTTTGTAAAGTCACAAATCCTGTATACCAGTATCTGGCCAATGAACATGCTGACTCATATTCTATCTCCCAGCAATGAGCTGTAAAACACAAAGAAGAGCAGAATCAACATTATGGAATGAGGGCACTTGGAGAATAAGAAACAGGAATCCAAGAGAAAACAATCTAGAGGGGGCTCCACCAGTCAGAACCTTTAACCACATAGGGAAAAAAAGCAGCAAATGCAAGTTCTTAATGAGGCACCTCTATTCATGGAGACCATAGCATGCATAGGGAGGCTTAGCAAATAAAAAAAGAAAGCTTCACCCATATCGGACTCCGTGCTATGCCTGGAAATGCTAAAAGCACTCCAGTGCTAGAACTTCCTTTGTGCTCAAATGCTCTCCCTCCAGGCGAACTCATGGCACACCCCTTTCCTCCATCACCATCTCTTCTCAAAAGTAAACTCATTGTACAGGTCTTTCCAGATCACCATAAATAAAAGTGTCTAAAATAGCCCTTTCAGTCTCTGTCTTCTATCCCTGCTTTCTGTTTCTTTGTTGCTTGATCACCACCTGGCAGTGTGTATTTTTTCCCCCATTCCCTGTCCCTGACTGCAATGATTCATACTAGCATGCTCTGTATTTGGTTTACTTCAATCTTCAAGGCCAAGAAAAATGTGGAACACCTAGTAGATCCTCAGTGAAGAAATGGGGAAAAAAAGACAGTTCTATTAGTCACTTCAATTCTGCTTCCTAAGGAGTCCTCAAAGCTCTTTACACCTTCTACGCTGCCTCCACTGTGGTCTAAGCCACCATCAGCCACTGGTACATTTTACTGCATTCTCCCTGGCTCCTCTGCAATCCCGTCTCGAGGCTTGGAAATCTAATCATGCTTCTGCCCTGGTTAAAGTGCCTGGGTGGCTCTCCGTTGCCCTGGGATTAAAGGATGCCACAGGACATCGCCCTTGAATACCTTCAGCCTCATTCTCCCATCATGGCCCAACACATTCCTTTTTGTGTTCTTCATTCAGTTTTACTGCTCTTCTTCCATGCACGTTAGCAGATGTCCCTTTTCCACCTCAGGACCTTCATATTTGCTCTTCTATGTGAAATCCAGTGCCCTAGCATCTCACACATGCCATTTCTTCTGATGTCAGTTGAAACATAACTTCCCCAGATAGTACTTCTCTATTTCCAAGCATATTAGGAACTCATGGTCTAAGTCTTACCAAGGACATTTCCCTTCCCTTTGTACTTATCATTACTATACCTGCTCAATATATTTCTGTACTGCTAGACTGGGACCTATCACGCTTGATCACCTTCCACATCCTTCACAACATACACCTGTGAGCTCACTACACACACACACACACACACACACACACACACACACACACTACTAGCAGGCTCTGCATTTTGTTCACTTTCATCTTCAAGGCCAAGAAAAATGTGGAGCACCTAATAGACCCTCGGGGTATATGGGTGTCGATGTTAGATAACTCTATGATCTTTTGATTGTTATCTTCTAGCTGGATAATATGATTGACCTTCAAAAAAGTTTAGTAACAAAATGTGCTTTTGAGTTTTTCAAGTGCCATTGAAAGCAACTCTGTTGACCATCCCAACCCATTTCTTAAGTTAAAAACATGAAAAATTCCATAATATATTTTATATAGAAAATTACCTGAGAAATGTTCTTCCTTCAAAAATGGAATGCCATGGCCCTGAAAAAATTTTAACTTATAAAATAAAGTGTCACTAAAGATGATTCCTGCTGAGTCTAGGAAATTGTCTACAAGAATTTTATCCATAGATTTTTGATTTGGTACTCCAATGATTCTTGATCCTGTGAATTCAAAGTAAAAATAGATATAGAATATTGTTAGAATTTCACTAAAACAGAATGTGATATTCAACTATGTCATCATACATTTTTCATTAGAATTAAAATCTTTTTTCCATAAATAAAACTTATCCCAAAAGGCAAGGGGGAAATTTTTATTTTAATGGATTAGGTTGTAGAATCAGGAGACATGCATGAAAATTAAGTGCTTTCTTTTAATAATAAGTCTTAGGGCAAGTTTAGGTACATAAAAAGGTTATGCCAGAATAAATATACATAAAATAATTGGTATGCATAAGAAATCAAAATTACTGGGTATGGTGGGGTAGAGTAATGGGTAGGAAATGAAGACAACTGTAATTGCAGAGCAATAAAATAAATAAATAAAAGAAATGAAAACATAAAAAAATAAATAAAAGTTACTGAAGAAAAAACATATATGATCTTTGCCTTATGCAGGAACCAAGAGCACAAAGAGACTCTGTATCTAACAGCCAGCAATTTTAGTTCTTTCAAAATTGAGGACTAGAAAGCAGGTAGTCAGACTGCACCCTGTTCACCCATGAATGAAGTACACATTTTGGTTATCTCAGTTATATGGTGACCTCATTTAGAATGAAGGCCTTTAAAGATGTTTACAAATTACACCAAACATGGATTATCTTTATTTTTATTTGTTTATTGTTGTTCAATTGCCGTTGTCCCCATTTTCCCCCCATTGCTCTCCCTTGCCCTACCCACCCCCACCTTCTACTTTCAATCCTCGCCCCTGTTGTCTTTTTCCATGGGTACTTTACACATGTTCCTTGACTTAGATTATCCATCCTTACTTTTTATAGTTTCAAAATTATTATTTACTATAACCATGACCTAATTTCTTTTATTTAGATTTTTTTCTCCTGACTTATAAATCTTAATCATTGTATTTTTGTGCTAAAAACACCCACATTCACATCCGGCATATTCTTCCTAGATACTATTCTGCCAATCTGTTATTATAAATCTATTGTTTTAATTAAATTTTAATAGAAATGTGGGCCTCCCTAAATTTGACCCCTATCAAACTGAAAAAGGATTTAATAGGCTAATTTTTGTTAGAGAAAGAGAAAAACTAACCAAAGTTAATACCTAAATAAGTAGCATAATGGGTCACTGTAACTTCAAATTAAACGTATACACATCTTATCAAAAATATAAAGCAGCATCAGTAATTCTTGTCATTAGTACATTTACCTTCAAATAAGGGGGCCGTTTTATTCATTATCTGCTTGGTTATATTAGAGATCGGTGTATACACAATTATATGAGTGTCATTAAATTTATCTACCCTTCCCAGGTCCTCAGGAGGCTTTTCAGGAAATTGGCTATTTTCTTTTAAATATGAAAATAAGCCCATATATAGTCCTAGAAGTATTGGGAACCCCCATTCCTATAACACAGAGAGAGAAAAAAGAGCAAATTTAGATTATATTATTTTAAAGAGCTCAATTGGCACCAAAAAATTAAAGACAGATTCCAATTTTGTCATAGTGTTGGTTTCTCTTTGCTCTCCTTCAGAACAAAAGGATTCCAATGAAAGGCATACACTGAAATAGTTGGCACATATATCATTCTCCAATATTAGAACTACACGTTCTCATTAAATCATGAACTAATGTAGAAACCATTCGATAAACTAACAGGAACACAATCTCTGTATGCATGAGCATCTGATTCTAAAGTCTATGAGACACAGATTATCCCAGATAGAGTTCATGGTGACAAATAACAATATTCTTGTCAGTTGTTATATCCTTATGTTGGAAATCAAAGAAAATGGAAAGGAACTGAATGGTAGAGACTGTCAAGTGTTTCACCAACATCAGTAATCTCTTGCTGCTTGGCACGATGGCAGACTATATTCCCAGTTCTGGAACTTAAGGGGGACCAAGTGATGGAGTTCTGGCCAATGGAATGTGGGCAGAAGTGACAGAGGCCACTTTTAGGCCTAGCTCAAGGAACACAGCCTTGTAGCAGGGGTGTTCAACCTTTTGTCATCTCTGGGCCACACTGGAAGAAGAAGAACTGTCTTGGGTCACACATTGAATACACAGACACTAACAAAAACTGGTGAGCGAAAAAAAAGGTTTGAAGTAAATTTACGATTATGTGTTGGGCTGCATTCATCGCAATCCTGGGCCACATGTGACCTGCGGGCCATGAGTTGGACACCCTTATTAGTCTCCCTGTCTAGGTCCCTCTAACTCCTGCTCTTTCAACCGGATGCAGAGGATCCAGTGAAGCCCTCCAAGGCCCAGGGAGAGGGCAGACTCCCTCGATGAAGAAGCCTGGGTCCCTGAATGACCGCATTCAGCCACCTTCACCCACCCAACCTACTGCACTTTTACTGCCAACTTTATTTAGGCTGTTAAAAGAGTGAAAAATAAAACTAAGCCTCTGTTCTGGGAAGCCACTGAGATCTGGGGCTATTACCTGTAGACAGCCCACCTACTTAATTCAAACTGACAAGCAATGATGTTATTTGGTCATAGTTCTTGGAAAAAGCCCCTGTGTAGGTAATTCATGGACTTGAAAATTAGTCCCTAAAGTTAAAATTATTTGATTTCTGCTAGACATTACTTTTATTATTTCTTGACTCTAAATGTATTACATGCAAATTATAGCAGCTTTAATAGTTGTTCCAATTTATCATATAATTAGATTTTCACTTAATCTCATTTTTTAAAAAAATGAGTAAATAGTTTTATCTTTACAATTCTGGGTTGTTTTTCAGAACTGCTGTAAGTCTTTTAATTCAACAAATACAACTAGAGACAACCTTGAAATCAATAAACCCAGTCTGTTACTTAAAATGTAAAATAAGAGAATCTTTAGGAAATGAAATACAATAATGCTAACCGCAGAAAGGGAAAATCTTTCGAACATACCAATAAGCTCTCTCTTTTCATTCTCCATTTCTTAAGAAGATTTTTCCACAGAAGGGCTTGAGTTTGTTGATACACACTTTTCTGTTTCCTATGCATTTAGCCTGTTCATTAAATGAACAAGGAGAAAGTAAACATGGTGGAGCATAAACTAGGAGAAAAAGGTGTAATGAGAAAAACCTTGATCATATTTGGGGGGAAATATTTCCTACCTTTCAGAACTGAAAAGGAAATGGATTTAAAATATTTCAATAACTCATGACTGTAAAAGGTTACATGAAATATACTCACTGCACAGTATTTGGTGGGTAATGCTGGGGAGGGAAAGTGACTATTATAACATTTTACAATAACAAAATATTAAAATGGAAAATATATCATTAGATTTCAGAGCCTGTAAGATACTTCACATTTTGACCTTTCATAACAGAAATTCAACTATATGAATAGAGTATCTAGACTGTATCTCATCTGATTAATAATTTCTTATTCTTTGTATTTAAATAGAAATCCCAGAATTTATATCAAATTAACATCAAATTTCTGATTACTGAAATTCATCTGAATAATTATGTCCATTACCTGTAACCCTAATAAAATATTTCCTTGTAGTATTTACCTTCCAGATTGACTCGACGTACTTCTATGAAAAGAGTTGGGCCATGGGATAATAGTCCAGAGTCAAACTACTTGACACTTGATTTTATCACACAGGAGGAATAAAATAATTTGCCTTAATTTTCTGAATTCAGAAGTCCCTTAATAACTGAGGAGGCAAACTACGAAGTAAGTTAAAAAAAGAAAAGAAAGAAAAGAAAAAAAATCACATGGGAAAGTAGTTTTTGCTCAAATGTTTGCAAATAAACCAACAGAGATTTTTTTTTCAGTTTTTGAAACCTCAAAATTAAATTATTTTAGATTTGCATATCAAAAAATTCAGATAATTCTTCCTCAACTAGCACAGAAGCAAATTTTACTATTTTCCTAATTACTTTTTTATCTATATAATAAATTTGGGAAAAATAGAAAAATTTTGTCATTAGGTCTTCAGTACAAAACACACAAGTATTTAGAAACATCTGAAAAAAAGATTGATTTTAGCAGTGGCCACCCACATATCTGGCATAGCACGACGAAACAGAGCTGTACTTACTGTCAGAAAAATCAGAAAAAGTACTCTGGAAGCACTTTCAAAGCACTGTTCTTTTTTTGTGTAAGGCAGAGATTAAAATTTCTTTATTGACACTTCTTCATTTATTCCTTAAATGGATGTCTACTCCCAACAGTTCTTAACCCAGGCTGATTGCTGAAAAGGGGCGTAGTCAGCCCAAGCTGCACATGATGAACTTGTTTTGTTTTCTGCCTTTTCTTCCCTAAGCCAATTATTCTGCAGGGAAATGACTGTTCTGTGGTTGGTTGGGAATAAAACAAACCCTGTGTTTGTGCACTTGGCCTTTCAACTCCAGGGATATGGGGGACAATGGTAAACAAGGAAAATGCAGCTAGCCCCACAGAAATGATGAATAAAGATGGGGAAGAACAATAAATGAGTAAAAATGGTAAGTAAGCAAAGTAGTTAAATTTGCATGAGAAATCTTTAGCTATTTTTTTCAATCCTAATGCCTAAACAGAACTGCCAATAATATATTTGACTAATTTAGATGAAATAGAATGTGCTGGAGCTGAACTTTTTTTTTTGCCTAATAAAGCTAAGCAATCTATAGTCTGCCTGGGAGAAACACTTTGGACAAATAAAGAACAATAAACAAATTCCTTTTTCCCATTCTGCTCATAGTGGATGCAGAATTTCTTAAGGCAACTGAACAAAATAAAAGTGGATTGCTAAGGACTAAAACACATATTCAAAGGAAAAGATTCAGGTCAATTTTTATGCATGACAGCCAGGCAAACAACCTGAAATTTATTCAGCTGCTTTTGCATAGTTTATCTCTCCCTGTAAAGAGTTGCAAACTTTTCTTGACCCCCCAAAGTAAAGGGCAAAACAGGAAACCAAAGTCCATGAGTTGGGAAATCTCAAATATTTGACATGGCTCCTCCTAATCCGCAGATGTTAATAATCATAAAACTAAGAGATGTTCTGGAGAAAAGGGGATTTTTAAAAATATTTAAAGCCACAATATTATGTATATACATTTCTCTCATTGGTTATTAGTTCTATTTTTTAAAACTAGTTGACAGTGAAATATTACATGGCTTTTACATTTAAACATGACAAAAACAAAGGCAATAAAGATGTTCGAAAGGTCTTGTCATTGAGGGGAGAATAGAAGACCATGAACACTGTTAAAACTCTGTTATCAGTAATAGTGAAGGGTCCACACCAAAATTCTAAATTCTTTAGACTCTCTTTCATAAATCATTTTCCCACTCTGCCTTTCTTACAATTGCACTAAAATTCACAACTACAATTTCAATAATTATTTATATTAAATATTTTACTAGGTTCACTTTTTATCATTATTTTTAATGTATTATTTGTGTTCCTCTTTCTTGAATGATTTACTCTGATTTATTTTTATTTGGGGGGCCATTTTTCATGTTTGAACCTGAAGATTACCCTCTAAATCTGATCTAATTTGTTAAAGATGTGCCTAATCTCTATCTAGAAGCACATTGAAATGGTGGGTAAAATATATCTAAAATAGATGTTCAGCTATATAACCAAACTTTAAAGAAATAGAAGTAAAAGATCGAGGGAAGTGAATAAGAATCTGGAACACACTAACTATCTGGAGCTAAACTTTGGTATGAATTCTGCTTCTTCCATAGATGTGTGACCTTGTACCATTTATTTAATTTTTTTCCCCTCAGTTTTTCATACATAAAAATGGAGATAATAGCCCTGGCCAGTGTGGCTCAGTTGGTTGGAGTGTCATCTTGTAACTGAAAGACTGAGGGTTTGATCCTCAGTGCAGACATGTGTGGGAGGCAACCAACTGATGCTCCTCTCTCTCATCAAAGTTTCTCTCACTCCCTTCTTCTCTCCCTTTCTCTCTCTCTAAAAGAAATGGAAAAATGTCCTCAGGTGAGAATGGAAAAAAATGGAGATAATAAATGTATATATGTATTGTTATTTGGAGGATTAAATTAATTAAAATAAGGAAAGTTCACAGAACAATGTGTAGAAAATTATAAAAGCTCAAAAAACTACCTGTGATTACTGATACTCTTCCTCCTCCTCTTATTACTATTATTATCCTGGAGCCCTACAGAGAAGACACAAAGAAATCTATAGAGATATGTCAAAAACACAAGGCACAAATGTCTATGTTCCTCCCAGCAACTATAATCAGAAGTCTGCTATGAAAGTGAATGAGCAGACCAAAATAATGGGACTATTGCCAGCTTCAAGGACTTAATATAATAAATATTATCACAAAGACTATAAAAATATATAGTTAAAGAAGTAATGTAAGTTAGTAAAAACAGGAGGCAATGGAAAGAAAGACTAGTAGGAATATGACCCATTAGAATTTATAAATATTTATAAGGATTAATAAAAGTTAAGTTTAAAACCTTAATGGTTAAGTTGTATAGCAAATGAGACATAGTTGAAGAGAAAATTAATAAACCAGAAATACTTCTGATGAAATCATAAAATTTAGTGCAAAGAGAGAACAAAGATGGAAAAATATTGAGAGTTTAGAACATGAAAGACAGAATGAGGGCATCCAGGACACATCTAATAGGCATTTTTAATGAGGAAAATAAAGAGAATAAATAAGAATATTCAAAGATAAAATGTGTAAGAATTTTCCAGAATTGAAGACATGAAACATCAGCTTAGAAAAACATACAAATATCCAACAACTATTTTACCATAGACTTTCAAAACGTAAGAGATGGAGAGGAGGGAGGGGACAGGGAAATATTTTAAAAACAATAAAATAGTAAAGATGAACTAGCAACTAAAGATCTACAGTTAACTAAAAGACATTGTAAAATAATGCAATAATGTCCTCAAAGGGCTGAGAGAAAAATCAAATATTGACCTCAAATTATATGCCCAAATAAATGTATGTGAAATAAAGATATCTCCCCTTCCATAGCCAGGCTGGAGGAATACTAAAGAATGTACTTTATATTACAACCAAAATACTTATCTGAAAATACATTGATACCACTTCACACCATCAGAATGGCCATCATAAACAAATCAACACATAACAAGTGCTGGCGAGGCTGGGGAGAGAAGGGTACCCTCATGCACTGTTGGTGGGAATGCAGACTGGTGCAGTCACAGTGGAAAACAGTTTGGAATCTCCTCAAAAAGCTAAAAATGGAAGTGCCTTTTGACCCAGTAATTCCATTGCTGGGATTATACCCTAAGAAGCCCAAAACACCAATTCAAAAGAATCTATGCACCCCATTGTTCATAGCCGCACAGTTTACAATAGCCAAGTGCTGGAAGCAACTTAAGTGCCCATCAATGAATGAGTGGATCAAAAAACTATGGTACATTTGCACAATGGAACACTACACAGCAGAAATAAAGGAAGAGGTACTACCCTTCGCAACGGCATGGATGGAGCTGGAGAGCATTATGCTAAGTGAAATAAGCCAGGGGGTGAAAGACAAATACTATATGATCTCACCTGTAAGTGGAACCTAATCAACAAAAGAAACACGTATGGAAAATATAACCAGTAACATTGAAAGAAAAAAAGAAATTGACAGTAACGAGAGGGAAGGATGGAAGGGTGGTAACAGGGAAGAGGAGGGGAAGGGTCAAATCAAGGAACATGTATAAAGGACCCATGGACAAATCAAAGTGGAGAAGGACCGAGGGCAGGAGGTGGGGTGAGTGGGGCAGGGGAAAGTGGTGGTGGGAAAATGGGGACAAATGTATTTGAACAATAAAAAAAAGCAAACTGAACTCTGGCAGAATGAGTTGCATGTCAGAAGAGTTTGGTAAATGAGTTGCCAAAACTAAATATTCATTGTTGTAAGCAATAATTCTGTGGAAAAGGAAGCAGAACTTCCCATCAACTTACACATTTTTTCAGTTTGTGCTGATGGAATCCTAGGGGTCTCTATGATTTTTGTAGAGCTTTAATTACTAATTAAGAAAAAAGACAGTCAGCATGAGAGTGGAGAATGTTGGGGATTTTGCAAGTGTACTATGTCATTGTTTTCCTCAGAGTTTGTTGTGGGGCCCAATGTTATCTGATTTACTGTCTTTTTTTTTTTTTTAACCTATTTGGCCCTAGAAATCCTTCCATTTACTTAAAAGGCGGCCTTTGTGAGCTGTAGTCTAAAGATAATGCAGGCTGGTCAGGGAGATATTTGACAAAGTATGTTCTTGAATAAAGGAGAAGGAATGATGATGGGATCGGGTGCACAGGTGTGGACGATAGTCTTATACAAGGACTTTGTGCCTTTTTGCTAATAAGAAGAAAGTCAGAGTGTATGGGTACGGTGAAAGCTGGTCGGTTGCCGAGACTCTGAAACCTTATGAAAACATTCTCATCTAATTGTCTCCACTTCCACACTCAAGTGGGAAGCAAGATTTTCAGCTGATAGTGAGGAGAAAGAGATGTTAGAGTTTGAGAAGCAAGAAGACGTAATAAAGTTATTTAATTAGTTATCCAACTCAGTGAAAGAGTGAATAGATTAGAGGGATGGAGTGTAGTTGGCAGGCAGAGCCAAGGCTCCACCTGAAGGCAGTGATCATTTAAAAGTGAGACTAGTCATTTTGTTCATGTGTATCTTTTACCAATGTTCAACTCCCTACCACAGGTTTAACCAAAATTTGGGTTTTGACTGGCAATTATGAGGAAGGGTGAGAGGGTTAAACATTGCCGTTTATATAATAGAGTGACTACCGGCTGAGGTAAGCCTCGCCCTGAAAGGCTGAGGACTCCTAAGTAAAGATAGTAGATGACTCTTCTTTCTTGCCAACATCATTGGGTCCACTAGCTCCTGAATTATGCTTTTGAGCACATGGCAAAGGGCTGACTCATTGTGTCCAGAAAAGTAGTGAACTTTGGGCTTGGCTACCAAAGATTATGTCAAGGCTTTATTGAGGTCAAACAAAATACGTGGTCATGGTTCAGTTTCTAAATAAAGAAACTTTCCAAGTAAACTAGAACATAGCAATTTGGCAGCATATTAGAGCAAACCACAAGTTTTCTGGAATTTTAGCTGCAGCAGTAATTTGAGCCGTCTATTTCTTGTGTTTTGCATGTTTTTCTCTTACAAACTTTGAAGTTTTGCGTATGTGCTTTATGAAGAACATGAGCAGACATCCATGTGTGGCCAAGGGGGATAGGATCAATTAT